TGATTTTGGACGACATACGACATACTATACTATGACTTTTTTTCATGATTTTGGACGACATACTATACTATGACTTTTTTTCCATGATTTTGGACGACATACTATACTATGACTTTTTTTCATGATTTTGGACGACATGCTATAATAAGAATTTTTTCATGATTTTGGACGACATGCTATACTATGACGTTTCTCATGATGTTAATGACATACTGTGACTTTTTTTATGATTTTGGTCGACATGACATGGTATACTGTGACGTATTTTTAACAACATACTATACTATCCTGTGTTTTCATGATTTTGGATGACATGCTATACAATGACATTTTTTTTGCATTTTTCATGGCATTCCATATTTTTACGTTGATGGAATTTTTCATGGCATACTGTACTGTGACATTTTTGATGGAATTTTTATTGACGTACTATAGCATTACACTTTTTATGCTTTTTGATGGCATAATAAGAGTATGACACTTTATGAAATTTTCATGGCATACTTTATTATGGCACAATGTGCTATGACACTTTATGCATTTTCCATGGCATAGTATACTATACAATGACTTTCTGTATGGTATTTTTCATTTACAAATCAAAAACAAATTTTAGCATGTATAGAGCCAACACATTTCTACATCTAACTGAGTGAATTAAGGGCTCATTTCAACTAAACCACTGTCAGCCATCGTAGAATATAAGAAAGACAAACTAAGATGGTGTTTGTGAGTTTTATCTTGTTTCTGTTGACTTTGAATGAAGCATGTTTTGTCAATGATAACATTGTTAATTTAAATGGAACCTGGTGGCTTCAGCAATAGTGGTTTTGGGGCTGGTTTTGTTTAAACAAAAAGGATCTCACTCTTTTATGTAGGGATCCTTTCCATGTTGTCAGACACTTATAATAATAATCTGAGTCTGTCAGTGGCAAAAAAAAAGGCACATTTAGTGGACATAAATTGATAGTGCAGAAATGCCCAATGACATTACATTGCAGCTTGTTGCACTGCTCTCAGCTCCAGCACGCTCACTCAATACTGGACCAGTCTCCAGAATTGTTATCTCAATCAATCACACAAAAAAATGACACAAAAATAAAGTTACCCTTTAAAATATGTTGCCATGTAACCAGTTCACTTCAAAAGTGTCCAAAAAATAATCCAGATGGTTAAAAAGGTATTACATTTACTGTACACAGGAGAAAAAGAAAAAGTAGGGTGCTTACACAATGTCGTTGAGCTCCAGCATGGTGTCAGGAGGAGGATTGATGAGGACGTAGGACAGCGTGTTCTGGTGGTCGTTCATCTCGTCTGGAAAAAGAGACAGAGGAGACCTTTAGAGCTGCCCTGGAGCCCTCCCTCGTCCTCCTCCATTATACAGTACATCAGCCAGGAAATGAGCCCACTAACCATTGAGAATATGAGACTCCCTTGTTTTCAACCTTTCAGTAAGGACGAAGGCAAAGTAACCAACATTCAGTATCAGAGCAAGTAGGGGAGAAGCTCTTTTTCTAGTCTGACTGTTAATCCAAGAGATTCTTGTTACAACTGTTAATAATTACAGTTTGATGATTAACAACATCGCAGTAAGATATACCAAAAGAAGAGTTTATAAATTAAGCTGATAATACAGTATTAATGGGAAATAAATGGCTGCATTCACAAATAAATTTTGCATTCTAATCAATTAGTATTTTGTTGGGGTGTGGCAAAATAATCAATACAGCTCAGTGGCGCAGTATTTTTGTGTGGCAATATCATATCGTCACACAGACACTAAGTATAGTTTTTTTTGTTATGTAAATTATTAATTTAAGAAATATATCGCAATATATTTTATCGCAATATTCAGCATATCGCAACACCTTGTACTGCATTTTCTTGTTTTATGTTGGCCTACAAATACATCAGCCGGCACCCAGAAAACAAGCACAGCTGTGGACGGGGTATTTTCAGTTCTGTACGCAAAATTTTCATAATTTTTTTTTTACCATTTATTTTGGTGTTAAACTATTTTAATTCATATAGTTATTGCTTTATATAGCTTTTGACACATACTCATTTGATTTTATAAATTATTTTTAATTGAAAGTTTTTTTGTAAAATGTTACCAATAATCCCATTTTTTTTTAATCTGAAAAAGAAAATAATCAATTGATAAATTGCTTAATTTACTCTTTGTATAACCCTTTCAGCCTCATACTAAGAGTTAGCTGTAGACTGTTTCTGCATTAAATGTTTATTATATAAACAGTAAACATTAACAGTTGTAACAACACTGTTTTATTGCTCCCACATTATAGTAAAGCTAACCATGGAAACTGCCCGGCACTATGAGGTCTTAAATCTAATGAAAAATCAATAAGAGGAAACGGACTTAACATTCATTCCCCTGATGAGTCATATTACTGAGTGTGTACATCAGTGTGTGCTTGTGTTGGTTATGCTGTCTGTGTGTGTGTGTTGAGTGCTCTCTGGTGGCGTCTCCTACTTGCGTTGCGTGATGGACGGAGGAAGGGAAAGGAGGGCACATGTGTCTCCATGACAACCCACCTGCTTGTGGCCCTTTATAAAGCCAGGCGGGGTGGAAGAGAGAGAAGGGCTAACCGTTACTGACAGGGCACTTAGTGGAACAAGGGGAGGCCCATGCTGCCTGCTGACTGAAACAGCACCACCATGCGCAGCTTCAGAACAGAGCCAACATGCAGACAGCGTCCGCGGCTGCGCAACAAATCGGTGTCCATCGCATTCCTTTTTTTTTTCCCAGAAAAATGACTCCTGCGCATTCCACACTGGAACAAGGCGGCAGGTTGCCATGCCAACGGACAACACTCAGCCCTCACAACCCCCCCCCCCCCACCCAGGGTGACATGTGACACACGCACAGACACAGAGAGACATGCTCCAGCATCCGTCAGACTGGACCAAACGCAGAGCAACTCGAAACCAAACTGAGAGTGAAGCAGAACACATTGGGAGTGTGAGAGTGGAAGAGGTCAACCTCTCAGCTGTGACTTACAGTTATTCTATCATAACAAATATAATCAGTAAGTGGAGAGAAAAAAAGATGTTTGCAGGGTTTATGTGAGTGATGTTATGGACTGTACCAATTTGTTTTCCCCTCTATTGTAGACTACTCAGTGTATTAAATATGGATTATACCATGGCCACAGAAAATACTCTTTTCTGATTAGTGGGCAGCTGAAAAAAAAAAAGAACCTCACAAATACAGTTCATGAGGTCAGTGGTAGTTTTTATTGTTGGGGCTCTGTAGTCCAGGATGATCAAACTAACTTTGAGTTGAGTCTTTAGTTCAAGGTCCAAACAGTTTAATATATTCAGCGTCATACTTGTGTCGGCCATGTCGCCGAGCTAGTTTGCTGTCTCTGTCCAGTAGCTGTTTGTTAGTCACTCTACAGCAGGACATGGCGTTTCAAAATAAAAGCTCCATGCTGAAAATTTACTGTACTTAAGTATGTTTTTTTTACAAACTTGACATGTTTGCGAGTCACTTGTGGTCCACATCTGGACTGCAACCCACCAGTTGGGAACCACTGGTCTAGACTTAAGACAGTCAAGTACAAAAGTAAGAACTATTCATAACCGTCTTCCTTATACTCGCTCTTTGTCCAAGTCATGTTCCTAATATTTAATGTTATAAAATAATATTATACTTAATATGCTTGGCTTTATTCAACACTAGGGATTATACAAAACTAAATATTCATACAAGATATATTCTGGAACACTTGGAGTGGCAGAAGATGGAGGTTCTGACCTTCACCCTTGCCTTTACCGAAAGGTTGGCTGGCCACATTTGGCTGTGAGGTGGGAACAATATTGGTATTTGTTCATTTATAAAGCTTTGACGCAGATGCTTCCATCCTATATTTCATCCCTTCTAACTCTGACCTCACATGATCTTGGCACTCGTTCATAAAACAGGTTTTTGCTTCACACTCCCTTAATTAGACCTGAACCAGGAAGAATGACATTCTCTTACAGTGCACCTTATACATGGAATAATCTGCAAACTTGGACACTCTGCCACCATTATGGCTGTTTAAATGCCTTATTTCACATCTTGTTTTAATTGAATGTAAATGCTTTTAACTATACATCTATACCTTAACATGGTTATCTCACTGTATTTCTACTTTTAGCAATCATTTATCGCTTTTGTTGTTTTGTTGTTTGTATTATTTCAATTCTGTTTTAACTGATATGCATGATACTTCTTTGTTTGCTAATTGGTTCTTTTTATGTCTGTGTTCATGGTTGACATTATTGAAAATGATGGTCTCCAGCAATTGATTTAGTCAGTTTTTCTTTCCCCATTTTTTCTTGTCTTGCTTGCTTACCCACTTTGATTTGTCCCTAGAGTGCACTTTAGAAGATAAATCACTGGAGGGCAGCAAAACAAGCTTTTCAGATGACTGAGATTCTTTAAATTGAAGCTGAAAGTCAGCTCTTTGACATCATGGTTTATTACAAATCCGATGTGCTGGAGTACAGAGCCATGGCAGTAAAAATATTTTCCTGAAAGGTTAAAGGGCAAGTGCAGTATCTTTTAACCTGGACCCTATTTTCCCATGTTTTTGTGTCTAAGTGACAAATGGGAACAACAATTTTTGAAACTGGTCAAGTGCTGAGTGATAGCACTGCAGCCGGCATCCGTAAAACAGGCTGCAATGTAACCAATCAGGGCATGTTCACACTGTTAAAGAACCTCCATTAAAAGTGTTTGTTTTTGCCACTGACAGGCTCAGATTATTAAGTGTTGGACTACATTATGGAAAGGATTCTACATCGCCAATTTCACCAGACTCCATTTAAATAAACAGCAATTTTTAGCGTGTACAGAGTCAGTATATTTTCATATCTAACTGGGTGAAGTAAAAGTTTATTTCAACCAAACTGAAGCTGGTGATTGTTGGAACAGTGGAAAGACCAACCAAGAGTGTGAGTGTGAATTTTGTCTTGTTTCTGTTGACTTTGAATGTGATTTGTTTTAACTTGATGTAATTACTGTTTGTTTAAAAGGAGTCTGGTGGGTTTGACGATAGCGATTTTGGGGCTGTTTGTGGTTAAACAAATGGATCTCTTTCTTTAAGAAAAAGGTCTATCTCTGCAGGGATCCTGTCCATACTGTTGTCAGACACTTATAGTAACAATCTGAGCCTGTCAGTGGCACAAACAAGCACTTTTAGTGGACGGAAATTAATGGCGTGGACATGCCCTGAGTGGTTACATTGCAGCCTGTTTTGCTGTTCAATACTGGAATGTTGTTTTCGATAAGTCACTTAGACACAAAACCACGGAAAAATAGAGTCCAGGTTGAAAAACACCTAACCCACCCTTTAACCTCCAATCTAAATCAATACACAAGCTGTATAAAACTGCAGGTGACTATTGCTATAGTACTAACACCCCAAACCATGCATTAAACCAACCATAAACAAACTGTAACTAAGAAATTGATGAGGATGAGGTTTAAACACTGCTTCTCTTTTGCCTGTGGTTAAGTGGCCATGGTATAAGTGTGAAAAGACACTTTGAAGTGTCCTGAAAAATGAAAATAACAGACACCTCAGTTCTTTATTTTCTCCATCAGGACACCTCAGACACTCATTATTCTTTGTACATATCTAATGAAACAGTTCAACTCTATGTCTAACCTTCCATCCACAGACATAATGCGTTCCGCTCCACTCTTTAAGCCATACTCTGATGCCCTGCAGTACTCTAGCCACGTGGGACGTCACCTCACGGGAACACAATGCAAAAAAGACCAGATAGAGAGAGAGATAGCAGAGCGAGATAGTGAGAGGTTGGCTGCTGGTCTACCACCCATTCTGGCAGAACGCACACACTCACACACACGTTTACACATACACACACACTCATGCAGTAAAGTTGCAGTACTGTGATCAACCAGCTAACCTGACGGCCTGGTCCCCTCTGTATACGGGTGCTCTGAAATGTCCTGCAACTCTAATAAGCAACGGCATTCACTGTTAACGTCAATGTCCTGATTTGGTGATTTATGAATAACTACAGATTTCTTTATGAACGAAAAAAGATCAAACAAAGAGTGGAAAAAAAACAAACATCTAGTAATGATATATCTAATCTGTGGAGAAATTCAGTGCACTAATCTTCAATGGATGCTGGCGAAAGGACAAATTCCTTTCTCCACAAGATGGAACCACTCAAATGTTGTAAATGAGTCATAAACAGCACACAAATTTACCTTGCAAATATCCTAGATTTACTCGATTCATGACATCGCTCGCAGTGAGATTAGAAACATCCTCTACAAGCCAAAGGAGGGAAGATAGAAGAGTCAGACAGGGAGAAAGAGAGAGACAGAGGAGGAGAGGAACAAAGGAGGAGGGGGGGAAAACAGGAAAAAGAAAAAATTCAGGCAGGCAGCAAATGCATTTGCAGTTTCAAAAAGAAGTTTTAAAAAGGTGAGAGCGATGCAAAGAAGCCATGCGTTGTTGTGTGCACAGAATCACTTCCAAGTTGTTAATCTGTCACATGTTATGATCCTGTCGCAGTAATCCTCACTGACATTCATGGTTCATAAGGCGATCTTGAGCTTTTGGGGTTCTTCCTGAAACGTATTCAATTGACATGTTACATGAGATTTAGAGAGTGCAACACATCTGGAGCATGATTCTGCTTTGGTTTTGAAGCGTGAAGCTGGGAGGAGAGAAGAACTGAAAGAAAGCACAGAAGTGAGCAGGTAAAGAGTGCAGGCAATTGCAGTCTGTGATCAAATGCAATTGAGACGAGGTTCGATGCTCCTGCATCTCCCATGCATGACGTGTTCACATCCACATGTTGGTATGGGTGTGACTGTGAGGTGGGTGTTTGTGTGATGGAGATGGTGATGGCGGTGATGGCACGTGGGAGAAGAGTTTCATACGTGTGAAACTGATGTGAAGACATGAGGTCTCCGATGGATCATGATGATGTGGTGTGATGTAAATGATCCGTACCATCAAGACCCACAACAACACGTCTTAATAGGTAGTAAGATGAGATAAAAATGACTGAGACACAGATTGGAGTTTATCAAACACAGCTGCTTTCATGGCTGAAATTATTTAACTGGTTGAGAGTGGGTAGAGCAAAAGAATCACCTGAACTACATGCCTTTAATAATGAGTAAAAAGTAGGTAGATTTTAGTGATTGGAGCTGATCTATTCTCTAAATAGTTTTGGTTCTGTTTGAGTCGATGAATACAACCTAAGTAGAGCTAACATGGCTGCTTATCTAAACAATGTCACACTATGAAGGATAAAATCTGACTAAATGATGTAATTTGCCTCTTTAACAGTTTATAGGTGTACAAAATCACTGCATACACACAAATGGAGCCTCCTGCATCCCGCAGTTAACTTTTAGAATTGAGTCATCCAACTGAAACTCATTGGAAATGACAGCTGGTCACAGAGCAGCTATTAAACTTGAAAATGAAATTATGCGTGTCTCAGACTAAAACAAGTATACTCTCTGCAACACAAGGTGCTACTGACGTCCATGGCCGATAATGGGGCTTTTTGGATTCAAAAGTTCCTCAACAAAGATTGTATGAACAGAACTATCGTCAAATGATGAGAACTGTATTGAGGGAAAACAAACAAACAAAATAACCCTAAAAAAACACGACACTGTTGATCAGGTTTTCCTGTGAGATCATGTCAACTATTTCCATTATTTATTCACTATTATTATTTGAGTACATTTTTTTTTTTTTTTTTACAAAAGTCAGAAAATTGTAAAAAAACCCAAAAATAAATAAATAAATATCCATCACAATATTCTAGGAGGCCAAGTTGACATATTTTAATATCTTTTGTCTGACCAGGAGTCCAGAACCCAAAGAGATTCAATATACAGCTATTTAAAATAACCTAAAAACAAGTTTTCACATCTGTGAAGTTGAAACCGGTTATTTTTGTGCGGAAAAAAAAGAGAGTGCTGCACTGGGTTAAAGCACTGTGTAGTTAGTTCTAAAAAACATCAGGTGCTCTTCAAGGACAAGGAAAATAGTCACATAAAGGTAAAAAATGACTGGCCAGCTCACTCAGTGTAAAAGTCCATAGCATAGGTAGGCAGTCCAAAAATGCAAAAATCTCTTCAATGCGACTGAACCTTTATTCTTGTTACTTGATGTGTGAATTACTCACAGTATACATTTACTTTATTTTCATTCACAATTTCTTTCAATGTGGTTTTTGTCTAGTAAAGCTACACCAATATATCATGTGACCTGTGTCATCTTTATGTGACCAGTTATTTTTGTGTTTAAAAAATAATTGATTATCAAAATGGCTGCTATTAATTTCAACCAACAGTTTCAACTCTACATGCTTTATGTGATTTATGTGGTTTACTCCGGCTTCTGAGGTCTCCTGCTGCTAAAAGAGAAACACAATCTAGTCAGATTAATTCATGCAGACTGGCCTCCTGTAAATATAATCATAAATATAAAAAGGGCCTCAGAAATAGTTCCTTCAGTTTTTCTTGCTTCTCCTCACCATAAAGCTGAGATTCTTAGGCTCTACCCACTGAGCTTTAACTCAACCAGTTACATTATTTCTGCCTCCTGCTGCTGCTTAAAGAAATATTGATAGAAGTGAGACTCTAATCTGCAAGACACATTATCATTTACATTATTATTCATTTTCAGGCACATTGTGACTAATTATAATTAAATATTGTAAACTAGATTAAAATACATTTAAAACATTAATAATTGTTTTTAAGCACCTACAGTAAAGTCTTGTTATACAATATTCAAAACACCATAAACTAGTACACTAAATTAACTTCTAGTCAACTTCTACACAACACAGCAAAGACTGACATCACTTCTCTAACTCTCACGCCATCAGCTGTTGCACTCACCGTATCCCACGGTGGGCAGGCCCAAATGCTTCATGCGATTCTTGACCAGCTCGGACAGCTCCTGCCGCTCGGAGCGTCGGTACAGGTTGAGTCTCTGCTGCGAGATACGCTCCGCTCTGCTGGACGGTTTGGTGGTCTTCCTGCTCAGCCGCCGCGCCCACTGCATGCTCTTCTTCCTCAGCAGCGGGTGCTCCGACTGGTCGCTCGTGGTGGAGTTCCTGTGAGCCGTCTTCTCCTTCCAGGACTCTTTACGCTCCCGATGCTCCTCACCCTGCTGCATTTTGATGGACACCTGAGACTGGGAAAGAACGGTGGCAGTATTAATGCTGTTTTGTTATTTTTTGTTCCATTTTTTAAAGAAACACCACAATAAAAACAAACTTCCATTTTAATGCCTTTGTAAGTGCCATTATCAGATGCCTGCTGTGATGCTTATGAACTCTACACATTCATAAATGCCAGAAAAATGCCAGTAAGGTATTTTTCATTGCTGTGTCCTTCAAGCAAAAAGGTGGTTGAAATATCCAAATTAAAAAAACAAGCACATTTGGATCTTACCTGAGCGTAACTGTCCTTGCACTGAAACAAGAGACAAACAGACATCCGAACAAAAAGAGATGCAATGAAAGATGGGGGCATCCAAAGCAAGCAGAATCATCCAAAGCTTTAAAAATCAGCCTATAAATAGTAAATATGGTGCATTTACTAGTCGTTAATCTCTGTTAGAATGGTGGGAAATTAACACTTTGGCACATTTAAAGTTTGTGTCTCTTGTACCAGCCACTTACGTAACCTGCCACATTTTATTTAGAGGCTGATTTCCATTTCAACAATCACAATGGCTTCTAAAATTGTCGGAAAACTAGTGTTCAGGAAAACAAATGTTAATTTCCTTCTCGCGCTTGGCATAAAACAAATAGAAGACAGAAACGCACTGACAGGAGCAAATGACTGATGAAAAGAACATGAAAAATAAGGCATTGAGGAATAAAAGCAGCTAGTTAGGAAGATTAAAAACTAAACAAAAAGAGGAAGGGAGAATGGAGAAAGAAAAAAAAAATATCACAGGACTTTGAGAGGTGAGTTTGAGGGAAAGACATTTTATGTGGAGAGAAATGAAAGCAGGATAAAGTCAAAGCAAGGACATCATGAAAATTTTAAAAAGACGAGGTGAGAAAAAAGCAGGAATGAAGAAAACACAAAATGAGGGAATAAATAATGGAGGGAAGCTGAAGCCGCAGCAGTGCCTGAGCTAAAGCCGAACCCAAAGCAAGGTCTCAGACATTAAGCTCACACTGAACTTGCCTCTGAGGTGGAGAACATGTGCGACTCGGTGCGGTAGATCCCGATGGGGATCTCAGCGCTGGAGGAACAAAGCTTCTGGAAGAGTCTGCCGTAGGTCCTGATCCACAGGTCCTCTTCTGTGATCTTCATCTGTGGACGGACAATGAGAGTCAAACAGATGCAAGCACAAGCTCATTTAGTCAAAGCAGCATCAACATTTGTACTTACAGCACACAGGTACCCAGAGCCAGGCGTGGTGTCCAGACCGAGGAGAAGCCTCGCTATGGCGATCATATAGTCCTTAACAAACGACTGTCAGAACACAGAGAAAGAGAGCAGTGAACTTAAGACAAAAAGCCCAGTTGCAAACAAGCACTTATAGTTAGACATTTATGTGTATTTTCTTCCAAACACATTGTGCATATCGAGCCTATTTAATTATTTAAAAAAACAAATCAGATGTCCCCAAACTGTTCCATTATATAAATCTGTGTCCTTCTTCTCAGGCTTTAGATTGCCAAAGCACAATTTCATTTTAATGTGCACCCATTTTGATGACTTCTTTTGTTCAGGTGCAGTGGGAGGGACTGTTCCTTTATATGCCTCATATGGCTAAAAAGATTGCCTACTGCTCCTGCAGTAAATCTTTTATGCTTATTTTATTGCTCAATTTATTTGTTTAATGGGTCTGTAAAAACTTTTAATGTTGTCAGGAGTGAGTGTTCTTTTAGAGATGTTCTTATCTGGGACCCTACAGGAGGAGAAACTCTTCTACTTTTACTTCTGACATGAAACTTTTCAATTTAAAAGCCATACTATGAAAGATCTTCCTACACTCATACAGAAGTAATCCTTCTCAATCATCACTTATGACCCACAAGAAGTGCGAGGCGCTGTCTGTACCTGCAGAGACTCTGTCCTCTGCATGTATTTTCTTATCTGTTTCTTATTTTGCTTTTGTGGGCGTGTACCCTCAGCCAATAACAGCATGCATGTGAAGTCAGGACTTTTTAACAAGGTAGCGACCAGATAGTAGCAGCATGTATTTAAGAGGAAGTGACACAAATTGCAGACACACCGACAATAAAATCAAATGTAGCGAGGCACAGTGCCAAGCAGACAAAGCTTGTTCCAAAACAAGAGTGAATCTGAGGTTGGCTTTTACTGTCACTTTTGCTAGCGAGCTTGGCAGAGGAGGATGGGGAATGAAAAATTAATTTAAGAGGAGAATTTAATTTTAAAAAACAACGTGTTCGTACAACTAAGAAGAGTCTGTGTATTTCAGTATGTGGGGTGGACTTGTGGAATAGGCAAAAGTACACAAAAAAGATTGGAAAGGTTGTGTTAGGGGAATGCGTATTTATTTTGTAACACTGGGTGGTACTTGGACTGTAAATAAACTGGGTTTATCACTTATTTATGTAACTGGGTGGTAAATAGACTGGGGATAGTTGTATATTAGTCGCAAATAAATTTGGAAATCAGTTGAAATAATATACGGTAAAAAGAAGAAATGTAAGAAAGGGGTAGGGACATGTAAGTTTTACTTCTACCTACTCTTTTTCGAACACTGATATTTGTCTTGTTTGTTTTTTATGATGTTTTTTTTTTAATTTTTGGTTCAACATTAAGTCATTCATTCATTCAAAGCGACACAGAGTTGCCCTGTTTTCTGTGGGACAGGTAGGTGCCGGCGATTAGCTTAGCTAGCTTGCTAATGTATTGGCTCTCCCATTTCAACAAATGTAACGTTCCTTTATTAGTATAGTAGCTTGCTGTTGATGAACAAGTAGTAACAATAGGTAGGGCCAAGTGTTTACAGATAGTAGCCAACAGTTCCTGCGTAGTATACCTTTAAACATACTGTAAATTACTAGAAAATAATGACTTAGCTGTTATAAAATATCTATATTAAACAAACCTTTCAGCTAATTCTTTAACTTGCTTTGACACACAAAGTTTCAACATTTGAAATGTGCGCTGGAAATAAATGGCCTATATATTTGACTTGAAATATTTCATAATGAATCCTCATGTCCAACCCCTAAAGTCTTTGTTATCCCACCTGGTAGAGCAGCGTATCCAACATGCTGATACTGAACACCCTGCCTGCAGCAAACGGCAGCCGGAACATGAAGGCCAAGTTGGAGCCCTTATCGCGCTCTATCTGAAGAGAGAAACAAACAAAACAAGATGAGGAACAGAGCAACCAGATGTCAAAATCTCACCTTTCACTGTTTGTTTGCTGAACTTTTGCTCTTTTGCTCCATCTCCAAGGAAGACTTGTGTGAAAATGAAAAGGCTGTTTTCACCTCTGAAATCTTACAAGTTAGTTGAGAGAGTTTAGTTTTTAAAGCACTGCAGGTGAAAGCTCTCACTGTAGGTGGCAGAAATACAGCACATGAAAAATTCAGGACTTCATGGACTTTGGTAAAAGTTCTTACAAGATCATCTTGTGTCCTTTTTTTGTGTGTTTTATTCTCTCCTTTCACTATCAAGGCTCGGAAACACAGACATAAAGGCACATGAAGAATGATGGTACAAAATAGTAAATCTTGTTTTGGTGAGGCTGAAAATGCTCCATTTATATTGTATTATATTAACAGATCCATTTCACTCCCCTCATGTGGAAATATTCATGAGAAAAGAGGAAAAATGGCATGTTTACCACTAAATATGCAGAACATAATCAACTCGAGAGGTGAGAGGAAAAATAAACCATCAATCCCAGACTCATTTTAAACATTACAGTGTTACAGTATTAATCCAGCTTTGATTTGTATTTTGAAAACAGTCACACCACACAAAAGACGATAAATGTCAAGGAAGTCTTAACTTCGTTCTCCCGTCTCAAAGGCTCACCTTCTCCAGTTTGGAGAGCGCGAGTGAGTAGCAGTCCTTGGCTCTGAACTGCATGAACCTCATGTTGGACGGGTGTGTGAGCTCGGTGATGATGCTGAGACTGGGGAACAACCTGAGTGGGGAGAGAGATCAAAGACAGAGTGGAGTTGGCGGAGAGATGAAACGCTTTCTGCTAAGGGGAAGACCCCGTGTGGCAGAGATAAATGCTTTTAATTTTTAGTTGTTAAATAAAAGAGGAGTTTTGACAACTGCAGTTTGTCTCTGAGATGAACTCATTCACCATTCTGGCAAACTCTGAAAAACAACTTTGCAGCTTCTTTTGGAGAACATGAGAAAGTTAATCAAGTGGAGTCTGGCGTGCACTCGATCCAAAACTTGAAGTTCAAACACAAACAGGCACTGATGGTACAAACTGTTCTGTATGTTCTACACAGTGAAACTCTCCCTGTGTTACCTGAACATAGTCTGGACGTTGACGATGGTCTTGGCGTCTGCCATGTAGTCCTCCTCAGCGCTCATGGTGCTCTCCTTGTCCACAACCACCAAGTTGTCAGCGTAGATTATACCACACTGCAGCAGGTTGTCCAGGCTGGTCCAGTCACAAAACAACAGTGTTGATTATTGCATGACATGTCAGGAAATGTCTCCCATTGAATATTAGCTCAGCTTTAAGTTAGTCTAGTTATAATTATGTACAGTGTTTACTATGTGGATAATAATGCATCACAATGCATCACAAATCTAGTTCTTATGTAGAGATGCGTTGCTACTAAGAACTTACATCTACACAATTGTCAGTTGTGACTGTTACGTAGGTAACGGAGGAATGTATGTTAGCACTACCATGTGACCTGTTTAGTGTGAGTGGAACAGAAAACATGGTCGTCATCATCACATCCGACTTGACATTGGATCATAGTTTAATATGATTTTAAATTACTTTTTAACAAAATAACACAATAAATCTTAAATCATAAAATCACCAACTTACAAAATGGCACTGGTTAGGCTAGCATTACTGGATATTTACCACATACACTAAACCACAGCATCTACTAACTCTGCAAATGCAGCTATTACTTTGTCTGCATACATGAAAAAATATGTTTCAAAGGACTGAGACTTTTATTTTATACATAATTTTTGCCCTAAACCTGTTTTTTTGGCAGTTTTGTTAAAACTTTAGGATGCTGCAGTAACATCATCTTTATATGGCTGATTGTTTTCGATGAAACCGCACAACTAATGTTTCCTGACAAACAAATTCCACATTACTGAAGTCTTCACTAACTAAGCTCTCTGAAAAGAAAACTGCACTTGCAAAATTCTTATGTATATCAAATAATCACCTGTGTCACATTAAATTTGTGAAGGAAACTTTTCTTGTATGCCACTGGTGAACGGAGAATCCAAAGAAGGCAAACATTCTTCAAGAATTGAAGTCACTGGGGATGATCCACAATCCATAGTATAATACATGTCTAATATATCCACTCGTATGCTCTCTTCTGTCTATGAGAAGCATGATCACACATGTGTATGAGCTTTGCTAGAGCAGAGTTTAAAGACTGTGAGGAGAAGCAATTGTTCTCGGAGCTGGTTGTCTGAATAACAGGAAAGCAGCAGCTTAAGTGACAGGAAACACCTCTAAATGGAAAGCTTTCGGTGAGTTAACTGATACCACTTGTTTGTTAGACACTATAAATTGTCAAAACCCTCGAATGTCCAATCCTGTGGTTCGAGTCTCTTTGTTCTACAACAGTGTTTGACAAGTACTCAGCCTACGACTGGATAAATGAGATTTGGATTATACCGCAGGAGCTGTGTGAGAGTTTGTAAATGGGTGTTTTGATGTTGTTTTGCTATTGTTAAATGTTGTCTCCTATGACTTCAATTCATGAATAATGATTACTTTTTTGGTTCTCCTCACTTATTCAAGGTAACATACGGTGAGTAATTGAAGTAAAGCATTCCTCTACTATGTTAAGGTGCATTCTAATTTAGTAAATCACTACTTAGAAACTAGCTAGTAATTACTAAGAAGTCAGGGAAGGACTTACAAACTTAGTGATGGATTTACGAACAGCTGATCCGGGTGCATCCAACATTTGGTGTCTCAGTGGTTGGTAATGACTTTCATGCTGCATGATTGTTGATAATAACTGCACATCTTGAGTCTAGAAAGTCCTTTCTTTTACACCCCCAGAGACAATTATGAAATTAAACTCTTGCATCAAACTCCTGTGAAGCTGAGCTGGGAACATTTAGCCTGATCTGACCTGTCGATATCTGAACAGCAACATGTGGGGATGAGAAAATCAATGAAATAGGTCTAGAAATCCAAAGTACATCAGCTGTTTTGTATTTTTAATGGTGCCTCATGGCGAAGGTTTCATTTAATCAGCCCTGAAACGTTGTTTTTTTTAATTGCCAACACCTGCTAAACATTAAATTGCATTTTATTCATGACGCATGTTGTGTTGCTGGCGGCCGTATTAAAAATGGAAAAGCTACCACTGAGATGAGCACCATCATTAAAGGAGTTAATCGAATGAGCAGGTTTTTATAATCCAAACACATACTTATCAATAGTTCCAGCCATGAAGTAAACCATTGGAAAGCAGCAAATGGCCTCTAAGAAGTGGTTATCTGGCCTGCGGGAAACAGGAAACATCATCAGTGAGCCTCCCACACTAATTATCTCTGCAAACCCCTGGTGACAGATTATGACATTGTTTCTGTAATTTCCTGAAACTGCTTGTTGATCAGGGCGTGGGCAGACACACCGTCTGAACTGTATTAATCGATGGTTTATGAGAAAACAAGAGGGAAAATATATAGGTTTAATTCTTAAACTCAATGTGAGGATGTAACTGGTTGCTATGGAAACCCTGGAGGGTGTCACTTAGCCAGAGCTTTCTTGGCTTTCTGTTTAGTTTATCTGTTTCAGTGACTGTAGAGATCTGGCCGAAGTTAATGACACTCACAGTGAGTTAGAGCGTCATGTGTTTCACTGCAACACAAACACACATAAATGTATACATTCCCAAACACACAAATAGGCTTTCTTAAGCAGAGGGGAGTGTTATTTATGAATAATGCAAAAGATATTTCTTTTTTTTCCCCTTTTTATTTTTTATCTTGGAGCAAAGCTAACCCATCTTTTCAACTGTGCTCCACTGAAGGCAATTTGGTTGTTTTAAATTGCAAACATATAAAGCACTGGCACATTTTTTTTTCCCTATTTCAAGCCCACATGTGTTCACAAACAAATGCAAATATATACACACACACACACACACACACACACACACAAACACACAAACAGGCACATAGATTTTTTCTTTACATCTTTTGAACTTCAGCTCAGATTTCTGCATGAAACACGACGTTTTATTAATAATGTAAAACTAATATTTTCCTGTATCTGGAGGCTAGGTTAGCCCATGTTCTTTAAAATATAATGACCAACTCTACTGCAGGCAGAAAATGTGCTCATATTAAAGTAGCAGATGATTTTTATCCGTGTCAAACTGTGAAATTACTGAAATAAAAAATACAAATACACAAGACACAAGTTCTCCAACCACTAAAGCTTTATCAGTTGCGTTCATCATCCCACCGTCTCACCTCTACTGTGTTATACGTTTATAATTACAGGTGCAGGTAGTACATGTGTGCCGCTACATAAAAAATGTTAGTCTTAAAAATCTGAAGTTAACATCAAACTGTCTGATTTGTACTGACTGTATGACTTAACATCCCCATAGGTTTAAAGGCTCATTTATGCTCAATGTTAGCGTATGTGCACATAGACGGAGCTTTGTCTTTGCCGTACTCTGTGCTCATCATCTGTGTTTGCACGTTTTTTTAAAGCTTGACGAAACAGAGCGGTACCACCAGAAATCGTGGGGGTTGTATAGCCAAGGGTTCAAGCGAGACATGACCGTAGGACACGACAAAGACATTTTTAAAATGGTGACACTTTTTGAGAAGTTATGTGAGTTGGTCAGAACATTGGTTGAACATCTATATTATGTTACTTAGCCACAGCACAGTAACAAACACTACAGAAAAGCTGGACGCAATTGTAAATAAATGGGAATGAAGTGAAGGTTGGTACGATACTACTGATCTCTACTGCCCTCTAGTGGATGTATCTATACCAGCAGAAAGGACACAAGTATGTGGGCAGTGACGGCTACAGTGTTTGAAATAGACACATCTATTTTCGTACATAAAATAAGGAAACAAACAAGAAACAGGAGAGTTAAAGTCTTACGGGTAGTCCAGCAGCAGCACTATGGGGTTGAGCTCCTTCCTGGGCCGATAGTAAGCGCGCAGAGGGACGATGAAGTTGTAGAGGCCGTTTCCAGCCGTCTCTGCAGACACTATAATCAGCTTATTCTTGAAACCGTATGCCTTGGCATCCTCAAAGCTGCTGTGCGTGCAGCCCTGGATGGAGACAGACAATTCAACAGGAAGTCAGTCAGGTTTTAGTTGTACCGTGCTCTTAGGAAGCACATATTTTTTAAAATCTATTAAGTCAATGCATGTTTTTTATGATTAAATTTTGAGACGGCCCTGTTTTTTCTCCTTTGTGAATTCACCTTGTCGAGGCGGAGGCAGCAGAATGGAGCTTTCTGTGGCAGGAGGTGGCACAGAGTTGGAGAGCTGCCAATGTAGGGCGAGTTGGGGGGGTAGCCCTTCACAAAACTGATGGAAAAGAGAGAAAATGAAAAAGTGCTATCAAATTTAAACAACTCTGTGCCAAAGTGGTTTCAAAGAACTGCAGTATAAACCTGTCTGACGTTTTGTGCAGATATTGGCCGTTTTATTATGTATCAGATATCCACTGGTGATGCTGTCCATCTCTGAACAGTTTCCTTCCTTCCACAGTTTGTGTTTAACAATAACAGCGTGGACTTTAACTGAAAGAATATGCTGATACATGATGGTATAAAATGAGTGTCACTGAATCCGTCTTCATTACTTTTTGAGGGTGCTCTGATTGATCAATCACTGATCAGTATTGGACGATATTTCTACCCAATAGTTTGATCCATGCTCTCTACGAAGACTCGTCAAACAATGTCTCTACATGTTGAGTAAGTCAATTTCCCAAGTGTCAGTTCTATGTGTTAGCACTGATTGATTCAATCTGTGTTTTTCATCAGAAAGCCTCATGAAAAGATAAAATCTTAGGTGAAATAAGTTTGACTAAAATGACATCATAATTGGTTTTGGCTCGACTAGATTGATTGAAATTCTAGTCTAATGATTTAAATGAACTGGTCAGACAATGGGCACAAAATGGTGTAACAGCAGGTCAGAGAATACTTTGGTAAAGAAATCAAACAAACAGAGGACAGTGAGCCCAATGTGGTTAATATTCACTGATGTGTATGAGAATAAAGACAAGTACTGTATCACAAATATATAACAGATTACAAAACTCAAAAAATTATTCCACTGCCCGGGTCAAACAGAAATGTGAGAGGGAATCGGGCCTGGACATATCTGAGGATGATTTGAATGATATTTGGGAGGGTCAAGCTAGGACAACCAATTCAAGATCCTGGTGGAAGTTCTGCTGGAAAAACGTAATGCGACAAGGGTCTCAGGGTCAGGATGAATGCTGGAGGTTGTGTGGTAAATCAATGGCAGACCATTTTTTATATTTTTTGGAGATGCCCACTAATCTATCCATATTGGCAAGAGATTGCAAAAGAAATGAAGAACATCTTTGGGTTAGAAGTTGTGCTTTTGTCATATTTTATTTGGGCAAAAACCCAGACAATCTCAGGATGCGGACAAATACCTTCACAAAGCACAGGAGGTGGCTAAAGGGATTGCAATTCTTGCCAAAATTCACTATATGGAGAAAATCACCTTTTCTTTAAGACTGCGACTTGATCAATACAAAAACACTGGAAAAAATGGACCGTACACACAAAGGGATGTAACCTATTGACTGGTTAATTGAAAAACCCTGTGCCGTATTGTGTGGCTCTTCAACCTGTAAACACCAATAAAAATAAAGCTAAAATACAAAAAAACAGACTGGTCAATGGCCAGCTAGCTGTGTTATCACTGGTATTTCAAGTGTACCACATTCTTGTAAGCAACAATGGATTGTTTCGTAACTTTTCAAGCAAGAAACTCTGACACACTGTCCGTCGGTGAAAGTGGGGTGAAGCTGATGCAACTGGTCATGCTGCAACTTGCTGCTGCTTTAACAGCTACAGGCAAATGCGCACAAAATAAGACCCGAAAACATTCAGATAATGATCTCAAGTCCGACTCAATGTTGCACAATATAAGCAGTACAAGGTCCCTACTCCATCTCTTTTTCAGCTAAGGGGTCTCTGGCCTGAAACATGTTGAAGATTACTGCTCTAAGCTGCTCCCAGTAAACAAGTGTCGGCTGCTGTTGTTTAAGTTGAGTCTCTAACAGAGAGTGTTGCACGTGTTGTCTGGCAATAAATGAACAGTTGTCAATTCATAATACTTTCTCATCTCTTAATTGGAAAATAAAAGACTTCAAAAAGACCCTGTGATGGTTGATTGTTATCAGCTGATACTGCTTCCAGCTATAGATGATCAGTGATCGCCCTAGAAAATCCTAATTGGAGCACCTTTATTACTTTCATCATTACTCTGTCGAGCTAAATATCATCATGACTGGCTGTCAAAATAACAGTGTTTCTGGATTTAATCTCTGCTGTTTCTTATTAGAGTCTGTAGCAGTGTTGCTCAAATGACTGATGTTTATAAGCCTGAAGGACTCACTCCTGCTCAATACCACCTACATCAACAATTACAATGTTTTTGTAGCCTGTTTAGTTTTAATCGCATCTCATTTTCTTTGGCAACAAGTGTGTCATTTGATTCTGTGTCCGCTGATTTGTAAATTGCCAGCTACAATTACCCAAATCAGTTTCACGGTGCCCTCTAGTTTGCCAATAAAAGAGATTCTGACTTTGTTTATAAGACGCCTCTGCAACCTGATCACCACTTGATGGCACTGTGGGACCTCGAGCAGCTCGAGGTGTTTTCCTGCAGATAACGCAGTCGCCGTAATCTCCCCAACTACTGTGTCTGACAACTCTCACAGAAGAAAAACTACTCCAGTGTCACGGGGCACAGTCACAGAGGCTCAGAGGTTAGAGGGACCATGTTATGTCCAACTTTATGAGACCCACTAACAGTTAGTGTTTGAGAAGACTCGTATGGGCCGAGGCACAGACTGTGAAGCACAAAGCACCCCATCTATTCTCAACTCGTCTCCGTCTAATGAAACCACATTCGGAGGAAATAAAAGAAAAAGCTGCTGAGATAAACGGATTCCTCCGACTTGCCATCCTGGCGACTGACAGATGAGCGTTGAGGGGTGAGGATCTGTGTGAGGACGAGAGAGAGAAAGTGCTGACCCTCGCTGTCATGACATACACATTAATCACCGCTATGTCCGCACCTTACAGCGTCATGACACACAGATTACACGCCTATTCCTATCTCATCCATCTCACCCTCCATAACCACTGAGACATGACGAAGAGGAGGAAGGGTGACATCAATCAGGTGTAGAGCACAGGACGTGTGCACTAGAATATTTCTCTTACAAGACATACTGTACGCTACAACACTGCCAAGTCTGTCTGGGTCATTAACGTCACTTACTCTGACCCTACAGAGCCCTCCTCGTCTGATTGGTTAGTCTCATCCTCTGATTGGTCGCTGAGGAGGTCGCAGGGCAGAATGGCGGAGGAGTCGGCAATCTCAAGGACTGGCGCAATGCTGGGCCTGCGGCTTCCGGAGCCATTCTCCGTCGGCAAGGTCAGCTTGCCGCTTTCCTCAGGAGGATCAGGGTTCTGGAGATCGATGGCTACTGTGCCTGAAAGTGACACGAGGACTGTTATTATGCGAGCAGCAAAATACACCGCCATTTGAAAAATAGCATTTGCAGCACTTCTACTGTAATGTGTTGTTGAGTCAACAGTGAATAAGCATAAACCCATAACCATTTTATCTCAGTGAACACTCGTGTGCTTGTTAGCGCTTTTTCTTATTGTATATTATGTGAGGTAAGGTCCATGTTTAGCTTGTTCAGCATCTTTGCTTCACACAATCCAAATACCATCTTCAGCTCAGCTCAGTTTGACCTTGAGGAGAAAATGCTTTCAGTGTCATGTAACTGTACGCGAGCTTCAACATACGACATGCAAACTGTATTGACATTTTAGTTTGTCAATAAATATGTCCCTAAAATACATCATATTGGCTCTATGTAATATGATGTATGATATATGCCTGATGCATGTATCAGGCATATCAGATATATGATATATGTGCAATACATATATCATATATTCTGCAATAATGTGATTTTTGTTTTAAAAAAAGACAGTTTAAAGGTTCAGTGTGTAAGATTTAGGGAACATAAGTGGCGTCTAGCAGTGAGGATTGCACATTGCAACCACCTGAAATTTTTCTTGCTTAGAATTCCTTCAGCGTTCATTGTTCAGGTGGTTTTTACTGGGAGCTGAATTGTCAGCAGAGGTCTCTTTCCCTCCAAAACAAATGGACCAGATAAGTAAAACTAGTAAAAACACCGAATAAGGCTTATAATAAAGTTTTTCTGATATTGCTTGGCATGTTGGAGATGGGCAGCTCGCAAACCACATGCTAAAGTGTCGCCTTTTTCTATTAACTTAAACTCCAGACATTCAGGAGGTTTGGAGCCGAATAATTCACAGAGGTCTCTTCCTCTCCAAAACAACCGTACCCGATGATTTAATCAAAAACACTAGATATAACAATTAATTATTTCAAAAAATCAGTGTTTGTCCAATGCTGCTTGTTGCAGAGGGCGTTCTTATGACGGTGGCCTGCGTAAAGATGCATATGGCCCTATCAAGAGCCAGTGTTTGGTTTGTTCGTTACATGGCGGTGAACATGGTGATCTCTATAAACGAGGACCCGCTCACTATGAAGATATAAACGGGACATTCTAGGGTGATGAAAACACGATTCTTATTTTCAGGTGGTTATACACTAAAGAAAATATACTCATTATATTACATTTCACATGTTCCACTATATCCCCCTAAATCCTACACACTGGACCTTTAAATCATTAAAGAATTAAAGGAATACTTCACCCACAAAATGATCATTTTAGTATATCAATTACTCATCCCGTGTTACTTTGAATTCATGAAGAAAACTTTCTTTTTCTCACGTCTCCATAGTGAACGAAGAATCCAAAAACTAAGAAAAATTCTTGATGGAACAGAGTAAAGGGAGTCTACATTTAACAACAGCAAATATATACCAAAACATCCATTTTCAAACTGTCACACAACCCGTGCAGTATCATGCAAGCCTCATTTATCCAGTCATATGCTCAGTACTCAGAAACACTTCTCGCTCAACAGTCTCAGGCCTGAATGAGTGCTACTCAAACACAGAGGCGTTTAAGTTTCAAGGTTTTAGCGAAAATGCATGTTTGGGAGGTACTGAGCATAAAAATGGATAAATTAGATATTTACTGAGATTATAGTGCACGAGCTGTAAAGGTTTGTTAATCCATCAACAATTCATCCATCAACAATTTTCTTCGTTTCTGGATTCTTCGTTCACCGTGGAGGCTTTTGAGACCACATGAAGAGAGTAACTGATATACAAATGGTCATTTGGGGGGGGGAAGTATTCCTTTAAGACATTGTTTTGTTCTCCATCTAATTACAGGATTAGTTATTAAGTGTGAGGAAGTGATGCATCATGCACAAACTTACCATATGCAGTGGCCTGATCAACTTTCACAGGTCAAAGAAAAAGCACAACACAATAATGTCAGCCAAGAAAGTAAAAAGGCATGTAAGAAAAAAGTCATGCATAAACAGTCAGCAAAAGCATACAGCATCACCGAGGCAGCCACCACTCAGAGATGTTCAGTGTGAGTGCGGTTTAGTAATAAACAACAACAAAGCATCCATTTTCTCTTCATACATGGAAACGCTTTCAACCCACAAAGTGTGAAACTGTCTGCAGCCTGAATCTTTATACTCAAAGACTACAAACATCTTCTATTCAACTTCTCTACTTCTAAGCATTCATTTTTTTCCACCTCCAGCTCTCGGTCTCACCCATGCTGGCGATGATGCTGTGCACGGGCAGCCTAGAGGGGGCGTCGTAGAGGCCGGTGACAGGCAGGCCCTTGTTGTGCTTCTCCTCCTGTTTAAAGATGAAGGCTGAGTTCTCCTCCTTGGTGATGTTGATGTAGTAGCAGGTGTCAGCAGCAGCCATGATGTGGCGGGGCCCGGGGTTCAGAAGGATGCTCTTGTTTTCCTCCCTCTTCACTCCGATCAAACACACACCATACCTGGGAGCAAAGTTTTAAATGGGCCTCGGCTTTAAGTTGATTTTTTTTGGCTACCAGAGACTCTAATGATATAAAATATCATTATTATAGTGTGTCAAGATAAAAGGGACAGTTCACCCCAGAATTAAAAATACATATTTTTACCTCTTACCTGTAGTGCTATTTATCAATGTAGATTGCTTTGGTTTAAGTTGCCAAATGTTGGAGATATCAGCCGTAGAGATATCTGCCTTCTCTCAAGTATAATGGAACTAGATGGGACTCAGCTTGTGGTGTTCCAAGTGCCAAAAAAAACTCAACAGCGATGTCTCTTTCCAGAAATCCTTGTTGACCTTGTTGAGAGCAGTTTAATGTAGGAGCTATTTTCTTTGTAAAGACCTACACCTTCCAACTGGATCACCCAAGCTCAGGCTTTGAAGCCAATTTCACATAATGGCCAAACCTGGAATTACAACGCACGTACAGAAACGCAAGGCACATTGCAACTCAAAAAACACGAGCAAAAACCTTCATTCTCATTAAGAACGATTACAAAAGCCGCTTCCTGCTGCTTAAATGCTCTCTGTGTGAACTGGGCCTCATACATTCATGGTATCATTGCACAGAAGAAAGCGTGCATCGACTGCTAGCTCACCTAGCACCACTGAGCTAGCTAGCGTTACAGCTCAGCAGAGGAGGATGCCATTAGCTTTTACATCCTGTGCTTTCACAAGCATGGTTGGTGGGTGTAGTTCGGTAGAGAGAAAATAGTTCCTACATGAAACTGCTCACAACAAGGTCTTTGAGTTATTTTCAGCAATCGGTTCATGATTTCTGGAAGGAGACATTGCTGTTGAGGATTTGAAATGTACTTTTTTAGCACTTTGAGCACCATAAGCCAAGGGCCATCTAGTTATATTACATTTAACAGAGGGCAGACATCTTTACATCCGATAACTCCAACACTTGGCAACTCACACCAAAACAACCTAGACTGATAAAAGGCTGTACAGGTTAGAGGGTAAATATGTATATTTCATTCAGGGGTGAACTGTCCCTTTAACCTAGCATTAGTTTTACTTACTTCTTATGGGCGTGGAAGGAGGCGTAGGTGAAGCTCTTTCCATCATACTCCCCAAAAAACTTGCTGTCACACAAGCGGATGTGGTAAACCTCGTTTCCTGAGCAGCGTCCGTACATCCTCTGCCACTGCTCCGGTGACAACTGACCCTCCCTGAAATAACACGATCAGAATAGTTACTACTTAAATGACAATAACATGAAGTGTCAGAGTTTTATAATGAACTGATGGACTGCTGGCAAACAGCAGCCTTGTCTTCAAAGAAAAACCTTTTTTTGTCTGAATTAAATGTCAAACTACAACAATGTTGTCAAGAGTCATTTCAATTCATAAAAGAAAGCACCTTTACGTCAAATGTGACATTTTTTGCAACTCAACAGCTCTCATTCCCCCACAGACTGATAAATCTGTCTGACCTTTCACGACCTTTTCAGTTTTCTAAATTCTAGTCACAATTATGAACAAAAGAGAAAAGGCTCAGAGGTTCAGTTTATTTAGGCAGTTCATGTCCTTCCTAACTTTTAATCAATGTGATAATGCTTAAATTAACACCTGCCAAGAGAAGTCTATTCCCAGTCCTGTCACCTTCATAGCCCCTAGCCAGTGCAAACTCCCATAATGGAAATTAAAATTGATGTGCTGCCTCTCCGTTGTGGACAGGAGTGAAGATATAGTAGTCACCTTGCACAGAATATGAAAAACACGGCCAGATTTATTTCCCGACAAGAAACAGGGTTGTGTTTACTGACTTGACAGTGACAAGTTTCTGCAGTGGTGATGGTACAGTAGTACAGCTTTGCAGAGACAAGAACCAGGTACAGTCTGTGTAGTTATAAAAACTATGCCGCAAGAGTTTCATCTACTTTATCTAATATTAATCATCCAGTGGGATTGAATCTGTCCACATGAATAATGACACAAAGGGATATTAATTATTAACAGTGCACTCAATAGATAGAGAGATTTAATAAAAGTATTTGTTGGAGGTTGAGCTGCTCTGAAAACACAAATAATGTCATTGGTTCAGTTAAATCTAAACAGGATTTTGGATGAGTAATGTAAGACTGAGACACAAGGAAAAATGTGAACGTTATGCTGCCTTCAAATGGAACTCGTGAACTTGTGGTTTCAACATAGAAAGCCATATATACAATATTCTTGACATTCAAGGGGTTAACAGTGAGAACACTGCTGCTAGGGAACAGCAACATAAACACTACTGTCGGTGTCAAGAGGCCACCAAGGCTAACAATTAAGGAAGCTACTATAGTGCAGGAAATGCAAAGGCATTATGACAAAGGAAAAAGGTGAGGCCATTTTCTGCAAACAAATTATTAAATTACGATGAAAAACTCTCCATCCGTCCATTTTCAACCGCTTATCCAAGGCTGGGTCGTGGGGGCAGCAGGCTGAGCAAAGTATTCCAGACGTCCCTCTCCTCAGCAACACTTTCCCAGGCCAGACAAGATACATAATGCCTCAAGCATGTTCTGGGTCTGCCCTAGCGCCTCCTACCAGTGGGACCATGATCGGATACCTGAACCACCTCAAATGACTCCTTTCAACACAAAGGAGCAGCAGCTCTACTCAGAGCCCCCCAACCAGATGTCCAGCCATATCTCTAAGGCTGAGCCAAGACACCCTTTAGAGGAAAATCATTTCGGCCGCTTGTATCCGCGACCTCATTCTTTAGGTCACTACCCAGAGCTCATGACCATAGGTGAGGGTTAGGACGTAGGTGGACCTGTAAATTGAAAGCCACGACAGTCCGGCACAGCGCCCACATCGCTGTGTCAAACTGCAAATCCATGCCACGCTACCTTCTACCCTCAGCTGTGAACAAGACCTTAAGATGCTTGAACTCCCTTGCTTAGGGCAGTAGCTCATTCCCAACCCTGCAGAAAACCATGGCCTTGGACTTGGAGGTGCTGACTCTCATCCTGACCGCAAAGATGCAATTCAGAGGTCACAAAACTGGACCCCTTTCTCCACACGGCTGTGCCTTGAGATCCTGTCCATGAATATCACGCGCAGAATTGGAGACAAGGGACAACCCTGGCAGAGGTCAACAACTACCTAAAATGTGTTCTATACAACTAAAATTTAAATTTATTAACTTAGCATCCACCAAAAATTCCATGGCTTCCGCTATTTCTTAAAAAACGGCAGCAAACGCATCACAACTCCTGAGGTCGGAGCTTTCCGAACGTTTCCACTTAGGAGGTTGTGAATGCAATAAGAAGGGGAAGTTCATATGGACTCTTCTCATGAACATGTTAACACATCCCCACTTGAAGGCAGCATTAAAAAGGAGGGTGTTAAACTCTCTTGCTACTGTTTAAGTCACTTATCTAGGGTCACCTAGAGCTTAATTGACATTTCAAAAAAGCTGTAAACTCCAGTTAGGTTTGCCTGATAACTGAAAACCCTTAGAGGAAACGTTCAACACTTTCTTGCTGCAAGAAGCTAGAGCCAAGAGACACATAGCTTAGCCTAGCATAACAACTGGAAAATGAGGGAAAACAGCCCTGCATTATCATAAGGTAACAAAATCTGCTACTAGCATCTCTAAAGTTCACTATTTAACGCTCAGTATCTTGTTGGTTCAATCCATTCAATAACTTGTTGGCAGGCGAATTTTGGTTACAGAGCTAGGCTAGTTCTTTCTCCCTTTTTCCGGTCATTATGCTGAGATAAACTAACCACTGTTTGATATCTATCTATGGACAGATATTAAGTTGTGTGTCCACCAAAACACTTTCAGCTGAGTACCGTTAGAACTGGTACAGAACCCGTATGAGACATGGTCCTTAATGCTAGGTCTGTCTAGTGCTCCACAGCAGACAGTGCTCTCAGGGTGCTTTCAGACCCAGAGCTGGCTTGCTGTGGTCTGAATCAGGGACTAATTTTGCTACATAATTGCCTAGAGTTGGCTCGTGTTCTCACGGCAGCATTTACAAGAGGACCAGATCAAATGCCCTGCGTGAGAAAGCTGCTCTTGATTGGTCGGAATTTCTTTGCGGGGAAAAATCTAGGAAGTAAACAAAACATTGAAGAAGAGTACACTTACAAGACAAATGTGACACTTTCTAATGTCACAATGGAGGGACAGCTACGCAGGTTGATTTTAGTGCTGCTCATCGTGGACTATATTGCTGTCATTGTTCATTTTAGTCAAACCATACAGTTTGTAAACAAGGCGCGGCTCCAACTACAAACAATGTTTTGATGCATTGGATGTGCTGAATGTGCATATTAAGGCAGTACAGGAGGAGGTGCACATTAATAATCCTCCAGGACTGTAACATGCACCAGAGTTCATTTGTATCCGGACTCAGACCATCTCTTCAAGAAGGTCTCGGTCCGGTTGTTTTGGTGCACACCTGAGTGCGATTGCTGTGTTCACACGAACCGCACTTAGAGGGCAAACAAACTTAAGTTCGACTGAACCGCACCAAACAGGACAGGTGTGAAAGCACCCTTAAATGTAGGTGGAGTTGTACCAGATGATAATTGCGTAACAGCTTCATCCAGCTCTTGTTATATTTTTTCCCTCACCGGCGATGCAAAGGAACGTGATTGTCCAAGGAACAGGATCGCATGCCAACATTTTCAGAGCAAAAAAAGAACAGGATGGAGTGTTTTGGGTCTAAATAGTGTGTTAGTGGTTTGTGTCAGTGTCATGGGGGGGTAAGGAAAAACAAACCAAATCAATGGTTTTATTGGTACCATCTACAACTTCTGACAATGGAAACGCAAAAAATAACTATTCTAATGTTAACAAACTGAACTGAACCAGACTGCTTGGTGGGAACAAGGCTTAGAGTGGTATCGATCTTCTTGTCCAACTCTCAGCAAGAAAGTGAGTAAGCATATCTCCTAAGAGGTCGAAATTCAAGCGATTAGATTACTTTGTCTGTAAGAGCACTTTCTTATATTTAATAACTTTGAAATCACCTCAAGTGCAGCAGATGTATACGAGTTTGGGGAGAAAGGTGCAGGAACATAACGATAACTCACACAGTGATGAAAGAACACACTGACAGTGGCTATCACTGTAAATGCTAATGCTGTAAAATAGTAAAAAATAGTAGTGTGTACTCACTGTCCTCTGGAAGTATGAACCAGGAGCGTGACCAAGGTCGACGTGGCGGGACACACACAGTTGAGCGCCAACATGGCATACTTGAACTCCTCCTCACACACTACATGATCTGAGTGAAAATGAATGGATTGCAATTTGTTAGACTAAGAAGTGTATGCTTTTAAGAAAATTAAGATAAAACAAAGGCTGGTAGTCTTCCAGCACTTACCTGCAAACTTAACATGGAATTTATTTTCAGGTTTGAGAATTTGGACGTAGAGAGGGCAATTTGGAGCGAAATCTTTGGCAGCCCAAGCCCTCAGAATAGTCTGGTGATCCTGCAGGTGAAGAAATAGCTCTATTTTACTCATGCACAGACTCATTTGTAAACGCAATCTGAATTTTATGGGCCATAAATTTGGCCTCAGCGACTCAGTGTGTGCTCTCAGTACTCAATGGCAGCTCCAATAGAATCATGACATCTATCTGAATATCTCAAACTCTCCCGGCTAATTTAAACAGGAAGCAGAGTGTGAAGGGAAATTGCTCCATTTAAATCATCGTGAGAGGGTTTGCACTGGAAAGAGAGTTAAAGACTGCTTCGATAAATTGTTGATGCGACTCACAGCAGCAGTCCGGTCGACCTCATTCCTGCTGCTGAGGATGAAGCAGGCCTCAGCGTCATCCATCCTGGAGAGTGACAGAGAGACGAACAGAGAGAAACACAGACAGGCAGGTTCACGGGTTGACAACTGTGAAGAGGACATTCATCCAAACGTAAAATTATTTACAGAGATCAATGCTTTAAAGAAAAGCCAGGCAGGGATGAGTGTTAATGCCCTGTGACAAAAGGTTAAAAGCTGCATTCTAGCATGAAAACCATCTGCTGTTATTTGTTATTATTAGAGTCCAGTGCTGGCGACACATGAGGAGCAGAGTTCATTCATTCATGACAGAAAACTCACGTCCTGTGAACCTGAAAACTAAAATATGAAATAATTGTAAGAAATCTTTCAGCACAGCAGGGTTGAGGAGTCTATGAGGCTTACTTGGCTGGGTGATTTTATCTAATGCAAATCAGTACGTGAAATTGGTGCAGCACCTAATCACCTGCACAACTTTGCACATTGAAGAGGTGCTTTTGAAAAAGGGTACAGGCTCCTGGTTAAATTGATGATTTTAATTTCACCTCCATCATGTGCTAGTGAGAAGTACCTAGACCCCATTTCACTGGTACCACATCATCAGCTGCAAAACTTCCGCCAGCAGCAGAAGCAGCAAAGATCCCCTGTAGTGACACTAAAACCATTAACGGCACACTGGTGGCGCTGCAATATGTTTCAGGGACAGAGACGAAAATTAACGGTTTAAACGTGTCCCAATGTGATCCATCTCAGTTTTCATTGCGGCCTACGTATGTGGCCTTTGATGTGAGCAGTGTAGAGTGAAATCCTATTACACTGATGTGCAAGCAGAGGGCAGCCAAGTGGACTTGTAAGTACCTCATCCTCTAACTGCACTTCAAGGACTCAAACTTTACATTTACATTTTAAGTAATTTAGAGATTCTTATCCAGAGCCAAAAATGAATAAAACATAGAATGTACGCTAAACTCAAACCTTTCAAGGACATGACAGACACGTTCAATGACTTTACTAGACAATAACACAGACCCTGGTATCACACTGAACTGCCATTTTGTTTCACTTCCTTCATCAAAATCACACATGGTGGCGGCAATTCAAGAAACCAAACGTCATTTCATGTAAATACACTATTCAGTGCCTATGCACTTTTATAAAGAATGATGGAATCAGAGATGACTCTCCCATCCAAAATGATCACTTGTATATCAATTTACTAAAGCAGAGCATGTTGAATTTGTGTTTTTCTCATGTCTTCATGATGACAAAAGGACCTAAAAGTTCTTGATGAATTGCAGTGAAAGGGGTTTGTGTTGTATCAAAACATCCTTTAATAAACTCTCACACAACTCGTGCAACCTTGCTATTAAGAACACTCAACTCTGCTCATCCATTTCATTGAGCAGCGTTCAAACGCATGTGCTTCCCTCTCGTCTGTGCATGGGGCAGTTTTTGCCGAAGGGCTTTAAATAGTAATGTTTTAGCAAAAATGCATGCATGCGTATGAGTCCAAATGTACTCCCTGCCATGCATGAGACTGGTAAAGTGTTTAAAATCCTGATGTTTTAGCAAAATTACATGCGTTCGACAGGTACTGAGCACACAACTGGATAAATGAGACTTGAATTATACTGCACGAGTTGTGTGAGAGTATGTAAACGGATATTTTGATATAGTTTTGCTGTTGTTAAAAGTGGACCCCTTCACTTCCATTCATCAAGAAATGTCTCTGTTTTTGGATTCTTCGTTCACCATGGAGGCATGCAAGAGAACAAGGTTACCTTTAATTAAACGTAACATGGGATGAGTAACTAATATCCAAGAGATTGTTTTATGGTAATGTGTTCTATATGCATTTGTCTGAATGCATGCATGACACGCTTTCACTCACTTGGCCCTCATCAGGTCCTGGTCTTTGAGGGCAGATCCTTGAAGGTAGATGACCCTCTGGGACCACAGAGGGATTTGGAGGATACGGCGGACTTGAATGTCTATCTCCGTTGGACACAGGATCACCACATAGTAGTCCTGCAAAACAAGGGATATGAATGCATCACTTAAATCATGCTTAAAGTTTTACATGATGAATGCAGATTAAAGGTCCATTGTGAAGGATTTAGGGAGACAGAATGCCAAAAAATGGTTTATAATATCTAGAAATATGTTTTATTGGTGTATAATCACCTTAAACTAAGAATCATTGTGTTCTCGTTACCTCAAAATTTATATCTACATATGGAAAGGGTCCTCTTTCACGGAGTTTGCCATGTTGTTTCTACAACAGCCAAAATGGACAAACCAAACACTGGCTCTAGATAGGGCCATTCACGTTTTTGCATCGGCCACCTTAGTTCTCCCTCATTCTCGGCACACAAGAGATGTTTTAGATAATGTGATATGCAAACTCATCACTAGATACTACTAAATCCTACACACTAGACCTTTAAGTGTGTTATTTGTACAGTGTATGTTTAAAATAGAGCTTTTTGATCCCCTTCATTCATCTGTCCTGCATATCCATTTATTCCGCAGGAGTACTTCAAGAAATACTTTGTTCAAATTGGAAGTCAACATATACACTGAAACATAAATTCCTGTGCTGATTTATTTAATGTTTATTTGTATGTGGACAAGTATGTAACATAAATTGATGCCACACACTTCAGCATTTATAGCCTAAGCTAATTTGCAATGCCAAACCCTAGATGGACCTTTACAACAAATGAAACTCAATATCAGATACACAAGAGACAATAAATAGGTACATTAAGAACACAAACTGACGGCAAAAGCAGCCTGTGATTTATCTATTTGACTGCTGTACATACTTGACTTTCTGAAAAAGATCCTGTTTCATTTTGGTACCTGTAGTCTCGGGTGAGCATAGAACTCGTTGAGGAAATCCATCAGCAAGTCGATCTTCAGCGAGCTGACACACAACACCACATGCTTCTCTGTCTGCGCCCGGTGTCGGCTGTAGTTCCCTCCTAACTTCTGGCTCTCCATCCACAAGTATGCTAGTTCTTCAAACTGACACAATGACAGCAGCATCGACGTGATGTCAAACTCAACAAGAATGTATTTAATAATAAAAGAGATAGACTTGCTGTCCGGACACAGAGGGTGAAAACACCGGGGTGAAAACTGCTGATGGCGTAGTTTGCCAGCAGCATGAGTTCATTTCTATTTCACACCCACTTTGCTCTTTGGGGACAGTAAACACTTGAAGTGATGAACATGTCTGAGATCTTTAAAAATAAATAACACAGCAAATAGGTGGATTTATCATGCAGCCGGCATGAGCCAGCGTGACTTGGCCCGAATTCTGTGTAAGATGTGCAGATTTTGTCTGCAGCCAAAATGTCAGAGAAGTAAGCCCTTTATGAATTTTTATTTGCTCTAGCTGGTGATAGCTGCAAGAAAATGTCATTTAATATTTGATCATATTCCAACGAAGGTCAGCAACAGATGCAGAACATCACAAGAATGCCTGATAAGACAGGACCCAATACTGAAGCGTTGAACCCTAGTTTACTCCACAGTCATTACCTGCAGTGGGAGCACCACTAGGGCAACACAGATGAGAATAACCACCAGCAGCTGGGAGGGCCAGATTTGTGGCGTGACGTCCCCGTAGCCCACAGTGGAGAAGGTGACGATGCAGAAATAGAAGGAGTCAAACAAGGAAAGGTGCTTCCCGGCTCTCTCTAGATGCTGGATCCCACAAGCTCTGCAGAGAGATGAGGAATTATACTTAATGGTGTTACATCAGACATATCTCCTCAGGGTTAGGACAATTAAAATATGTGAAGAGATACTTTACCAGGGTAATCTACTTCTCTCAGTATTATGTTTCAGCCTGGCGGGCTAGATATCAAATTCAATTTGCCCAAGACCAAAGGGCACCAGAGTGAAGACAGATTAGGCTCCTGATCAGTATGTCATTTAAAATGACAGTATTGATTTCTCTGTCAGTTCCAGCTCCCTTCTTGTGCTAATTTGTTTGAGTTTTTTTCTTATTGATAAGTTGCAGATTTAATGAAACCCCGAGGCAGAGGGGAATGAGAATTACTAACTGGACAGAGTGGAGTGCATGAGGTGGGTGTTGGGTGCTGGCCAAGGCACAAGAAAGCCAAGAAGTGGAAGCTTTGATTAAAATAAACTGGTGTTATAAAAGTGGAAATCAATGAGGCTAAAGAAATGAAGAAGGATGGAGGAATGAGAACGGCCATGTGCGTATTTTCCTCAACTTAACACTTTTTCCTGCTGTGATTTCTTGAAGTTGAACAAGTGTTTGGAGGTTTAAAAATTATTTTCTAACAATTGACACCCAAACCCAAAATGTTTATGGGAGCAAGAGGAAAAGAGTGAGAGAGGGGTGAAGACTAAACAGAGAAAGGTAAGGACACTTTGATTTGTAGCTGGCAAGCTAACAAAAACAAGAAAACCCAACAACACAGTGCAGGAAGAAGAGAAAACATTGTTTATGTCAGTTAAAGTGTGGTCTTGTTTGACAAATGTTAGTGGACAGTGAGCAGTGGTCCCCACATGGCAATACTCAAAACTTGGATTAATTTCACAAAAAAACCCTTTGAATCTTTTGATTGGTGGACCCTTATGAACTAAAGGAATAGAAATAATCAAGGAACAGACACAGACTCAGACTTTATGACCACTTCAGAGATTCAGAATCACCATTTTTTTTTCGTCCACCATGCCTGTAAATCTGAATTAATTCTACTTTGGTACATATGGTGTCTGTTAAATGAACTGAACGGCAAAATTGTGGAGAATCTAACCGAGCTAACGATGTGTAAGATGCCCATACTGACAAAAGTTTAACATTAAACATTTATATTTGTATGTGTGATGTTAAGCTGCTTAGAACTAGCTCAGGTGGGTCAATGGAGACCCAGTGGGCTAAAAGAGGGTTCATACATCCGAAGAACTTCAATAAAATTAAACTTCTTGGCATCAACAGCTTCCGGACCCTGCTTCTAATCAGTCCCTCCAGGATTTTGCAATACTGCGAACAGAACAATTAACGCAAATTCAGCCAATCCACGTGTATTCAGTCCACTGTGAGTGTTGAAGGAGGACTCTTTATGACACGGGATCAGTCTGCAGCCTTTGTGGATACTTTATTGAAGACACAGCATACAACTTCACATACCGTTTTCCAGGTCACCCTGTTCTTAAACTTCTCCCCAGAGTGAGACCATTCAGGGTTACTCAATTTTAGTAAACAAGTCAAACATTCCTAGGCCTTTTCGCCACGATATGAGCTCTAAAGTCTGGGACAGAATCACACACACAGTGACAGGGCTAACTGTTACCATCACAAAGCGATGGTTATTAATGTGTTAAACGACAGAGTCAAGCCATTTTAGTGTGAGAATAACGTATCAGTGTCTGATTTTAATGTAGCTGTGAGGCTTGTGCCCAAATGGCAAAATATAACGAGTATGAGTGAGATCAAGTTGTGTTGTGTTGCCTCTAATAATGAGCTCCGATTCCATCAAAGCATCGTAACTTTTTTTGCAATTTACATTTGTACCTACAATTTCATTGCAAAAAAACGCCTATAAGCATCGCAACATGCTTCACAATTTTTTAGAGAAGCTGCCGTAAAACCAGGCCCCAACAATCCTAAAAACATCTTTCATCTTGCCAGAAAAACTGTGCACCTTTGGCGCTGCCACTGGGCCGATGCCAGCACAGCACAATATGTCAGCCCACAAGACCTACATTTTCAGTCTCTTCTTTTACAACATGTATATAGCTTCTTCCAAACAATCTGCCCTTTCCAAGATATGCACACTACCCACTGTGCTGGAGATAATGTTTTCTGGGCCACAGTTCAGGAAGCAGATTTTACAGTGGGGGTCAGTGAACAGGCCTCAAAGCCTGTCTGTGACTAACAAGAACAAAGGTTCACTCACCCAGTGAAAACCAGACACAGTAAGGTGCAGATGAGGATGAACACCTGGTTGAACATGGCAGAGTGGGTCCTCTGGATGGCACGATGGAAGTCGTTCTGGATATAAGAAAAGAGATATACAAGTTTTACTGCCATATTCATACCAGTGACTGAGAACTGAAATGCATTTTCAATTTCAGATTATCATTTCAAATATTTGTCTGTTCAGTCAAAGTCAAACAATGCTAGAAAAACTCAGTTACTGTCTTTATATGTACATTTATTCATGTCTTAACATTGCCTTGACCTTGACGATGGTGTGGATATAAATTAACACTAGAAAAACACACAGTCTATATCCATCTCCACCGTCTTCTCCTCTTGTGGAACATTGTTAGTATTATATTGTGCTGTCTTCTACTCCATCTTGAAATGTAGAAGCTCACGACTCATTTTCAGCTGCACCTTGTTAGCATGTTCTGCCTGCCACCGCCTCCCATCACCGCCTCTCCAAACTGTGCCTGCTTTCTCTCCATGTGCTGGGTCTGCTTGGCCTCAGATTCTACCATCTGCCCAACTACCGCCTTGACGTGAGGCGCGTACTCTGTCATGGTCTCATCTGTGTCACAGCGAGAGAACATACTACACCAGTTGGATATCGTCTAATTGCTTTGAATTCCATGTTCCCGTCACTTTGCACCTAGATGGTAAATTCTGGACAATATTGATACTACAACACCAGAATTCTGAGCTCCAGGCTTTTTTTTTATCTCTTCTGTGTTTCTGTGCTGCGTTGCAGTGTCTTCTTCTGTTTTGTTTTGCCTGAAGTTGCTGTTGGTTCTGCTTTCATTCACAATGTGCTATGGTCTCCCAATAAATTTCATTTATTATTCTCATTTACAGCACGGGGCTACAGTACATAAAGTATTTACACACTTTGCAGTTGCATCACCGACCCCCAACAGCTGTAGCTGGTTAGACAATGAAGAGCTTAATGGGTAATAGCTAGCTCTCTACGTTCAGGGTGTCTGCAGGTATCAGACAGTTAAATTTAATACTTTTTAAAACCTTTTCAAGATCATTTTAAACCTAGTTTTAGAGTGATCTTTGGGCAAATCATCTTTTACTTATTCAAACATTGCAGGTAAGTATAAACATAAATATACGTGGTCATGAGCAGAGGTAGGTTTAATGTAGGAATATGGTAATTATGGTGAGTTAGGTTAATCTGCATTTTGCCAATGGGTAAGAATAAAGTGAGCAACTTCAAGTTAAAGACAGTAATAGGTTCAGTGGAGGGTTTAAAGATATGTAACATCATAAATGTGGACTTTCACACAAAAGAGCTCGACTCTAGAAGAAATTAAAAGACAGATAAATTAAATTAGATAAAAGGTTTGTGGCAAAAATTCAAATTCAGGACTATTTAATTACTTTTAAGGCCTATTATTTATTTAGAAAAATTAATTACAGACATTTGAAGACCTTATAAGGCCCATCAGACACCCTTTATGTAACCATACAAGATAGAAAGTGTAGTATGGATGTGGTTTCTTTTCTATACTGTCATTTATCTAAGGGGAAATTCATTTTTTTCTCTGTTGTGGACACAGGCCCGAAATACACACACATGCACATACAGGACCTATATGTGCAATAAATGGAGGGATGTCAGAGTGAGGGGGCTGCTTTGGACAGGTGCCCCAAACAGTTGGGGGTTCAGTGCCTTGTTCAAGGGCATCTCAGCATTGTCCAGGTGAACTGGCACCTACCAGTACAGCTACCAGTACACACCCCATGTTAATCCGTTTAGGGACTTGAACCACCGATGCTCCAGCTCCCACGCCAAGTCCCTATGAACTGAGCTACTGTTGCCCCATTTGTGTTTTAAAGTAGTTTAGTAACTTGTTAGTGGTGGCAGGGGTCAGCCAATTTGTGCTGTGTGTAAGTAGAATGTTATCTATACATGTTGGTGCCTTTAGTCTATATTGGCATTGTGATCTGTTCATTTGGAATCTGCATAAAGTCTACTAGCCATATGCTAACACTTGCAAAAGTAAAGTGCCCATGTGAGTACTCTGACCCCAATTGTGTGTATACCATAACCATTATTAAAGTGCCTGCAATGACGATGTCTCAGACTAATGTTTATGTTGTGTAAAACAAGTGACCTGCTATTCAGAAACATTAATTTAGCTTCTAGTTTAAGTCGCACAGAGTCATAAGATCTGCCATTAGCATTTGTTAGCGCTAGCACTGCTTAATGCATCCTGGCAGCGCTGTTGTTGTGCTTGTGGGCTAATTTTTTCTGTCTATATCATTATCAATAAAACTAATGAAGATACCACCCCAGCATCCCTGTATCTTATCACAGTGGTCACATAATCCCAACCAACTACAGTTACAGTCCAAGCTACTAATCCTTTATCACAATGGATGTGAGTCTGTTTAATCTTAAACTAAAATTAAACAGCCTAATTTAACCTTTTTAGACAATTGTATAAAAAAAAAAAAAGCCTCTTTCTCTGATCCCTTTTATCTTTTCTCCAAACAAGATTCAGCCCAGTTAACCTGAGCCAATGGTCTGTGTTGGCTTTGATAGCCAACTAATTAGCAAGTGGGCTGATTCATCACAGTAAATTGCATTAATGGTAACAACGTTACACAAACTAATGCAGCTAATAACACCAACTTCAATAAGATATACTGACTTGTGCACAATGTCAGCTTAATTGAATTCTGTCCAGGCTACTAAATTGCATAAACCCTCTCAGCCCTCTGAGCTGTGGGCTTTCGTATGTCCGCCAAAGGATGGATAATGTACCTTCAGTTGTGCCGTTTCCTACATAATGCAGCTACGGTTTGTACAGTACAATGAACACACTACTGAAAACACTTACGATCATGTTCTCCAGGGCTCCTTTGGCTAGCCAGCAGTTAAGAAATACAGGAACGAATATGTTTCTTAATGGAGGCCAGAAGATCTAAAGGAGGAAAGGAGGGAAAGACAGAAGAGAGAAAGGGTGAAATAATGGTAACATGATGGGAAATCATTAAATTAATATGCCTCTGGATGAGGTACACATGGTATTGGAGCATTAACATTTGATTATTGGACTGCACTGAGCTCAACAATACCAAAATGACCTTGAGCCTGTGCTAATACATCGTCTATGGAACATACCGACTGCTCAGTTGATTAAATGAATTACTCACTGTGATTATAAATGGCACTGAATTGATCATCTCCAATATGAAGGATATCTGGAAGATCTGCTCCCAAATGTTCCCCTGGAAGGAAATAGATGGGAAATTATTTAGTAAACCAGTAAGAGTGCAGATTGTTTCAGAGAGAAGTGTAATTCCAGTAATAATACAACTGGAGGAAGTCAGATGACTCAGGAAAACAATACAGGCAAGAGGGCAACACTTGTGTATGCTGTGAGTTGTAAGACCATGTTGTTCTAATGGGAGAGAGCAATAAAATCAAACATCTTTCTTTCTTTTAGAGCTGGAATGAAGAGGTCAGTCATTAATGTTGGGTCAGGAAACAACAGTCCTCATTGACCTGTTTTTGTTCTCGAGGCGTTCAAATCAAAGTGCTTGTTTGTGGGGCATGTTAACGATAATCAGCAACTGTGTAACTGAAAGACAATTATCACAGTCTTTGTATCTGAATGTCTTTATTACTACATTCTTCAAGCTTGTATGACTTTTTGAAGAGTTTACTTTCAAACTACTGTACATGTATGTTGCATTCTTTCTTTTAGACATGTGTTGTGTAAATTATGTTTATTAGTATCCTTCCTTTATAACTTGCTGAATTATATATTCAATAAACCCTTAATTAAAGGAAAGCTAAGGAGAAAACTACTAGTTTATTTGAAAGTAATACTGTAGTCGGGATCTTTTGAAGTGAGATTGCATGAGGTACTTTATCATAAAAATAACAACACTTTACATTAGTTAACAATGATCATAAAATAGACTTTAATAAAATACACACAACATAATTCACACATTAAAAGCGGTTTAAAAAAGAGGAGTTTTGATGTGCAATTTGAACCGGGAGAGGTCGGTGTGATCTCGAATGTGTTTAGGGAGAGAGAGTTCTGTCGCCCCAGGATCGGTGCTTGGTCCTGAGTGGTGGAGTCAGGAGGTTGGCATCAGAGGAGCGGAGGCTGCAGGAAGGTGTGTGGCAGTGGAGCAGGTCAGTGAGACAGGAGGGGGCCTGATTATGGAGTGCTTTTTAAGTTAGGAGGAGGATTTTGAATTGGATGTGTTGTGGGACAGGGAGCCAGTGGAGGTTCTCACATGGGAGAGCAGATGGGCAGCAGGAATTCGGATGGTGTACCATAAAGAATGCTTATCCATAGTCAGTATATTACATACAGTAGATTGCAGTCAGTACGCCCCCAGTTTCGAGAAGCAGGCAGAGGCACCAACAACGAAGCTGGGCAATGTCCTGCTGTGGATGGGGGTCAGCAGTAAAACATACTTAAAAAAGTCCTCAAATCCATACCAGTTTAAGTGTACGCTATACTGAGAATATTTTTACTGCTTGTCCATCTATGCTCTTGTCAAAGCCACCAGTCTTTCCATGCAGTATATTTTGTTTATAATCTCCAGCCATTGGGCCAATTTCAGAGGATCAACTTGCAACCATTTGCGAGTCATGGCTTTCCTGATACTTGCCAGAAGTATCTTTAATAAATACTTATCTTTGTTTGGGACAGTTTCAGGTATTTTTCCTAAGTATAACGTGACAAATGAATAGACTAAATCCATCTTAATTATCTTATGAATCTCAATCTGCAATTTTTGGGCAAGCATAAAACATGATAATGATTGGCCAGTGAGGTTCCGCATTGCCTCCAACAAAAGTCCCAGCTCTGTAGGCCTGTTCGCAGTGCTGTTAGTCTGGAGGTGATAAAGAATCGCACAAGGCTTTTCCAACCAACTGACCTAACACTTTTAAGTACCAATGACACACAATAACACAGACAAACTAACTGATTGAGGCAGCAGTCCAGCAGCTTCTGTGCTCAGTGTTGTTAAATGTTTTTGTAAAAGGAGTCTGGCTTTGAAGACAGTGATATAACTGCCTCAGTTCCCTGTCGGAGATTGCTGTCTGATGGCAAAATACAGCAGTGAAATATAAGCGTACACTTGAACTGACGCTGATTTTTTCTAGACGGGGCATTTTTAAAGTGGCTAAAATATGTTTTGCTGCTGCCTCCATCCACAGCAGTACATTGCTTAGCTTTTGTGGCTGTACTCCTTCCTGCTTCTCCAAACTGGGGATGTGCCATCTGCAATTCTCTCTCGATAATACACTGACTATTAATAAGCACCTTATATGACCCCTCTTCAAAAGATCCGAACTATCCCTTTAAGACCGAAATGGGCCAAGATGCAGACTTTTTCCTCAAAAAGGCGAGCTGCAGCTAATGGCACAATCAGCTAGGGACTAAATACTAATTGCATATTGAGAGCGAGCAGAATTTACAAGGTACAGTTTGGTGGTGGCTTCTGTCCATGATGAAGCCATTAAAAAAATGTACTAAAGAAAATGACACCAATTCATTTTACAAGGCTTGATTTTATCACCAGCTGAAAGAAAGCAGATTTGCTCCTCATATAATATACGCAATGTAATTCCCTAAACGGCCTTCTGAGAAAGGAAAAAAGACATAGCAACACATAAAAGGATCAGAAAATTGCAAATAATAAAACCTAGACCAAACTTTAGAGCATCACCACAGGGGAGGGAGCTGAAACCTACGGAACAAAATGTCTGAGACAATACCAAGTCTCAGAGCAGCAAAGCTAAAGCTAATATTTCCAAACAAAGAAAATCTTCTGCAGAGACTAGCAGTACAGTGAAGACACTGGACCCTGGCAAGAAGCAGACTTTATCTGTACACAGTGTGGGTGGTGTTAATAAGACAATGTCTCCTGCTTTGGTACCCATATCCCTAAGATCCCAAGACAATTTAGGCTTATTTTATTAAGATGCATACTGGGTGAGCTTTTCTTTAATGATTTACTGTCTAAATAAAACAAATGTCCAGTAAACAGATTGCAAGGTTATGCAATCCATCCCACAACAATTTAATAACCTACACTGTACTTTTGTAAAGCTCTAATGGCTGCTCACACTGTATCAGAGAGGCTTTGTGTGGCCATAATTCAGGCTGTATTTCTAGTGCTGTACTGTGGTCTCATTACAGAAGTCCTGTCTTAACTCAGTATAGGATGATATTTAATATTTATGGCATCGCAGAAACATACTTAATCTTATGATGGCAGTTTAGCTATCACAGAACTGTCCCTAGTGAAGCCTGGCTCAGACTATAAGAGTTTTAAAATCCTAACCGATTTTGATATCCTGCCGCATCAACAACACAAGGAGAAAACCCACAGATGCTCTTCTCTTTGATCTCAAACACGCACACACTGCAAGATTTGAAAATAATGGTGCATTACACACACTACAGGATATTATTAAGATTATGAAGCTGGAGGCAGCATGAATGCACCACCTCACGTGATCTCATGAAGAAGCAGATGGGAACAGAGAGGAGACTGTCATGGTGCAACAACTTGCTGTAATGTTAACAATGCTCTGCAGTGAAAAATAAAACCACAGCAGAAGGCTAAACAAGTGTACATGAGAAAATCTATGGGAAACCCAGTCAACAGCGAGGACTGGTGTGAGCTTTTAACTCTCAGTTTAGAAATCTTTTAACAGTAGTATGCCAGCTAACATTAGACTCAAGTGCTAGAATGTTCAGCTGCTCCATACTGACGTAATCATGACCATAATCAACCAAATTTTAAATTCTAAATATCAAACATGTTTTAAATTATCGGGACAGCCCTGATGAGTCGTTCAGGAGATTTCAAACTGGATCACAAAACCTCTCACATCACCAGGTAATCCGGCCCCAACAAAGGTACTGACAAAGGTCTAAAACCGGATTACTCCTCAGATTGTCGGGGTTAAATCTACCTTCGTTAACTTTAGCTTATATTGGAGTTATGCTATGTAGTGTGTGAAATAGAGTATGATGAATGTGCTAGGAAAGGTAGTACTGTCTCTACCTGGAGCTCGCATGAACAGAGCCTGGGTTTGTTGAAGGTGGCAGTAGTGTTTGGGCTGAGAAAGCCATGTGTAAGTAAGGTAAAGGAGGTTGTTGGGTTGGTGCGGGGAGCAGTGAGACCTGGCATTAGGGGAGTGTCTCTGGGACGCCAGAGATCACTGTCTAGCCTCCTGGAGGTGTCGTGGGACCAACTAGACGAAACACTGGTGAAAGGAGGTTCCCACCTGATGACCCCAAAGATGTGTTAGTTATCACTGCTCACTGGTCTGTATAGTTAAGCCTTGCCATAATAGCTCATCATAGGGCTTAGGAGGTTATTCACTGAGTGCTGATCCTTTATCTAGAGTACAAACTTCTTGTGTTTATTTGAAAAAATACCCAAAACACTTTAGGAATCCGAAATTAGGATGGCATAGACTCTGTCCTCAGTTCAAAGTAATGGTCTAAAGAGGCAGCAGCACTGTTGTTAGGTCTACTTATACTGAAATTCCGGCTACAGCAAGGATTTCTTAAGTTAAGATCAAGCAGCAAACTCCAGGGCTGAAAATGAAGCCAACTTGGAAGTGCCAAAAACTGCAGTTCTTGAAACGGCTGCCTGAGTCTGGCTCCAGAAGTGAGTCAATCCCCATAGACACCCATGTTAAAGTATCCAGCTTTACACTGTAAAAAGATGTCTTTACAGCCTGGTACAAAAAACAAATTCAGTCTCTAAAACTAATTTTTACTTCCATGACAACTGTACTGGGAGGGATTTTTTTGTAACTCACCTGTTAACATTTTATTGAGACTTAAAGTTACACATAATTATGGGCGGATTGCTTTTGAGTGATTGGCTTTCTGCTCATAGTGTCCTCTGCTTCTCAGTCCAATTTTGCCCAATTTAGGTCACCTCTGTCTACAAAAAAACATTGTCATTGTAACTACGTACATTTTGTTTAAAGTCTATGGTTAATATATGATAGGAGGTCTAAGATAGGATAAGACGCTGCCATGAGTTTAGGAATTGCTTCTATAATAGGATATTTTTCTGTAATGAGGCCCCTGGCCAGCATTTCATTGTGATGTCTTTTTGATATGTTGTCCACCTCATTAACAGTCTGTACATTTCTGTTAGGCAAAAATCCCTCTGCTTATTCCTGCTCATTAGCAGTCTCGAAATCTCACACAAAGACTGACCTTTTCTATTCGTGGGAACTTAAGTTATTCCCAAAGAGAACATAATGCTGATATCATTCCCTACTCACACAGTCCTCCCTTTGAATGCATAGGAACTGAGGACTAAGTGCACCTTTAGAGGACTCACATAGATGAAATAAAAGCAGCACTTCCAGCCCTGCGAGCCGGTTTATGTAACTTGTTTCTGAGGCACAGTGTGTGTGATGTCTGAGTCTAAAATTAGTGCCAAAAGTCGTCTGGCCCCGTGTCTGTAATAGGTGCCTTGGCCCTGGCACTTGGACTGGACACTGAAAGCTGTCAGCCCACGAGGAAGAACAAATGCAGTGTGCTGGACTTTGATCAGACAGCTAGAAGACATCAGAATGGATTAGAGAGAGAGACCATGCACTGTGGACCAGTTCCTTACCTTGTAGCTGAGATATGTGATAAGCATGGTCTCCAAGAAACTAATTAAGGCCACTGTCACCTGGAGCGGAGAGGAGAGAGGGAGATAAATGAACCAAACTTGTCTCTTCTGGCTGCTCAACCTCAGCTAAGGAACTTACTGCAGTGCTTTTATCTAACAACTAGCTGCTGGTGTGTTTTGGTTGAATCCTGTGGTAAGACTGGGTTCATATGGTGGAATTTGATTTATGTGCACTTTTAGTGGAGTGTTACTACTCTCACCTGTATCGCCCATACAGGTTCCTTTCTGCAAACCCAGAAAATCAATGACCTGTCAAAAAACATATGAAAAATTTCCTCACACTTCAGTGTACCTCCACATAAATTAGAGAGTGAACAAACACCACTTTACAGTTCAACACCATTTTGATGCAAACATACCAGTCGATGTCTCCCCGCTCTGTACTGTTGCTGCTGTTCGAATAATTTGCACTGTCAGGAAAAATAGTAACAGGGGAAACACACACACACAAAAAAAGCATGAACACATAAGTGTGAATGTGAGTGCAAAGATACCCACTGGGAAGCATTCCCATCAGTTGGTATGTTGCCATAAAGAACAAACCCAATGTTTCTCTAAAGGCTGCTGGCAGCGAGCACAATACAAACAATCCACTACTTCCACATGACTTCACAGAGGGAGCAGCTTACACACACACACACACACACACACACAAAAGAAAAAAAATCACCGCATTACTTCATTATTTCATAGTAAATAAAGCCCTGTTTCCACATTGAGCAGTACAGTTCAGTTCTGTACATTTTTTTTCCATTTCCACTGCTAAAAGTTGTGGATGGTACCAATGGAACCGTTCCTTACCGTCCCCATTTTTGGTTCCCCCTCTGTTGGGGTACCTAGCACACAGATCTGGTACTAAAAGGTGGAGCTGTGAACACTGCAGTCTGTTGATTGGTCAATAGAGGACGGTCACTCTGCTCAGGGCTGAGCTGGGGCTGGTTTTGAGGCTCATGTAACCACTGTTCACACTGTGGAGAGTTTCATTTGTAGACTGCAACTATTAAATGAGGAGATGTTTTGCTGCCTCTCACAGCAGCATAAACTGAATTCAATGGGCCCACAGCCAGCGACTTCTAAGGTGGAACGTTATCTTGTAATGTTACTCAATGCATGAGTTGACGACATGAATCCATCAACACACCTTAAATTTCACTGTGACAACTCTGACCATTACTTTACTTTTTATATGACATACACTTTTTGTAATGAGTGTTTATATGTATTAATTTCGACCGGGTCATGTGAACTGCATATATTCTAATCCTCACTTGGAGAAAAAAAAAAGCATCACAGAGTGTCATTCCCGTGGGCTCCAGCAACACTAAACCCCTGAGCTTGCCTGAGAAGGACTAAATGCACAAATCCACTATTTTTAAATATCCCATGGAGAGAGACTCTCACTGCAGCCTGCTTTATTTTGTTCTGAAAATGTCAGAATGCAGCCTCCTTTTGTGGACGATTAACGAGGTGGAGACTTCCCTCCGTGTCACAGGTAATGAGGAAATACAGTGAGTGCTGGATGGAGCAGTGAGTGACAACAACACCGCCCACATTTAAGTAGTACTGTCTGTGGTGGAAAGGCAAGGATCTAGGTACCATGTCTGTAGGGTTAATTTTAGTACCATACTGAAAGTGTTTGATGGAAACAGGGCTTAAGAAAACCCAGGGCAATCTTTAAATCCCCCTCCACTCATAAATGTGTTTGTCTTTTGTTTATGTCCACTAAAAATGTCCTACTTGGCTATACTGATGTGTGTTTGTGCAAAGTTTATCCCTGGAGAGTGTTTTCACATTCCTCTATTTAAGAGGGTGATTTCTGTGCATTTTCCTAAAGTCTGAGATTCAAATATACAACAGGCAAGCTACATTAGGCATGTCATTAATATAAAAGCCAATGGCTGTCCAATATTGACAGGGGAACAGACTTCGACATAGCACCTGCATAGAAACCTGAACCCTCTGTTAGGGGTGGGCTGGTGTAAAAAAAAAAAGAGCCAGAACAGTGTACTGAATTTTATCAGTAGGTATCACACTTGACTCAGCAGCTGCTCCCAAGTGAAACATAATGATACCATGTCCCAAAAGCAAACAAGCGTCAAAGCCAATTACTGATTTTGGTGCACACCAGTCTCCTTACCTTAGAGTCTTGGTCTGACTTGGGGTCAAACATGTATGGCTGAATCTCCCTGATGTGTCCTCTAATGCTAACTGTAGCTATCTTGCTTTTTTGCAGGTCAACTGAGCGCTAGTCTCTCAAAGCCAGACCTATTTCCACACTTAGTTTTAGTGCTGTGTCAATGCTGTAGAAAGCAGAAAGCGGCACCTAGCACAAGCCGCGGTGATAGGCTCAAGGCCAGATCCACAATGTCTCAATAAGGCAGAAAGAAAGGATCTGCTCTCAGCCTCTTTTCAGAGTTTAATTTTTACTTTTTATGTGAGAAAACCATGTTAAACAAAAATATTAATCACATAAAACTTGTCTGGAGGGGGATTAAATGTTATCAAAAGGCACACAAATGTTGGTTATACATTTAAAGTTCATAGTTTTGGGAGTAATTCTCAATTACACAAACCCCTTAGGCATATTCAAAGTGTTGTGAGCAATATTTGCATATGAATAAATGTGTTTTCCTCTCATATCTGTCACATTTGTGGCTCTATGCACATGGCGAGGGGGAAATATTCTTGGATATTTCCCTCTGGCATATGGCAAGTCATCTGGTTGGCTTAGAATATAATACAAGAGGAAAAAGACAGATAGCATTAGAAGTGATTAGAAGACAGCTGCCTCTGCAAAAAACAGTTTCTGGACTCTGATATCTTTTTAAGAAGCAAAAGATGTCACTAAGTAAAGACCTTAGCAAATCATATAACACATACACAAACACACAAAAAACTATCAAGAAAACACAGACACATCTAGAGTATGGGTTAACTGATGAGTGAGGTGGCGACTGCTGAGTGGGACGCTTACCATGGGTTGTTGTTGTCCTTATGGGGGTTATCCAGGCTGACTCTCAGTATGTAGAGGGCGCAGGTGAGAATCTTCAGTGAGAAGTTGAACAGGCGGATTCTCAGGCCTGTGGACCCACAAAGTTTGACCGTTTGATTTGACTGAAATAATGGTTTAGCAAGTCATGATCACCTGAAAATGAGTTGACCCTCTTTTATATTATCTCACACTTGTTTACAAACTTCAACCTCAATATGAGTATTTGTATATTTTTTACTTAACATTTGTTGCGTAAAGTTGTTAAGAAATGCTTCCGGTGCACAAAGAATCCAAATGACAGAAAATTCTTGATGCAGTAAAAGGGGTAAAGCAAAATTATATCAAGCAGTATGATCCAAGCCTCATTTATCCAGTTGTATGCTCAATACTAGGGCTGCCCCCGACTAAGAATTTTCCTAGTTGACCAATAGTCGTCATTTAGGGCCATTAGTCAACTAGTTGCCTTACTAGTTACATGTTTAATTTAATTATTAAATCGTATATTTTGGGCAGGGCAACACAATGGTTTGAGTTGAAGGTGTGAGAAAGAATAGTATCAGTAACATTGTTAACACTGTGCTACATTACAGAGAAATACAAAACCGTACTAATGAACCTTCATTAATATAGGCCTATATTTTATCTACAAGTGCACGTCACACACTGAGCGAGCCGCCTGTTAATGACGCTGTGGGCTAATGGGCATGTAGCTACTTCCATGTTTCAGATCATACGTCATATTTGTAGTCGACCGATGAAGATGAGTTTACCTATCACCTTGGGTTCGTCCTTCACCTTCTCAAAATGATCCCACACTTTGGATTTCCTGCCCGACATGTTATTAACTAGCCTGTGGAATAACCGCAGGTACCAGCCCTGGAAATTAGAGGCCGTATACATGTCACATCTTTCACAGCCTAGAAAACACAAGGTCATGTGCTGGGTGTTACTCTTGTACCTTTTTTGTGCCAGTTTTCAAGAGTGCGGCAGCAGGTTGTGTCAGAGGTTGCTAAGCAACCTTAACAAGCATCGTATAGCCTATTTACCTGAAATCCTGAGTGCAGAGCTGATCTTCTTCCAGGTGCTGTTTATAAGTGTGTAGGCCTATCGTCTGTGGGACAGATGTAAAGCTCTGGGTAGCCCTGCACTAACATGATCAACTTTTCCATATTTATCAGATTGAATATTTACAGAAGAAGGGAAAGATATCTGTCGGCTGTGATTGGGTTGTAACTTGACTCCTGTCTGACTGCTGAGTATGGCCACTTCCTGTGTCTGTCCTTTGAAATTAAATTCCCACATGGTCCAGTCATATAGGTTTTGATTTATTTTGAAAAGGTGCAGCTCCTAATAATAATCTTTCGGATCGACTGACGTTCGGCCGACTATTTGAAACTGAACTTAAAGTTAAAGTTATCTACACTCTCTTCAGAGCCAGATTCCATTGGAAAAAGCTCTTCAGAACACAGGAGCTGCTGGGCTACAACTGCCTCATCAGTTTGTTGTTTGTGTTATTGTTTGACTCTAGTGTTAAGTGTTAGTTTAGATTCACTAAAGTCACACAATGAGACAAACAAGCTACCAATCAAGGCAGCAGTAGACCAGTTGCTCTCGTGTTGTTTAGCAAGGTAAAAATGACTGTTTTTGTCAATGGAGTCTGGCTTTGAAGTGAGCAAATATTAATTTCACTTTCAGTTTAGTTCCTTGCCTGAAAAGACTCTCTGTTTTGGAAGTACTGAGCATAAAACTGGATAAATGACACTTGAATTATAGTGCACGAGTTGTGTGAGAGTTTATCAAGAAATGTTTTGATATAGTTTTACTACTGTTAAATGCAGACCCCTATTACTTCAATTCATGAAGAATTTCTCTATTTTTGGACTCCGTTCACCGCAGGCATGCAAAAGAAAAAAACAGCGCCTTCTTCATGACTTCAATGTAACACAGGGTGAGTTATTGACATACAAATGGTCACTGGGGTGAGTGAAGTATTCCTGTAAGACCAGAATCTTCAGTGTATACAGCTGACGACAGATGCAGCCAAATCTCTCCTCAGTAGAAAGTTGATTCTGCTTTAACACCAGTTGTTGTTGGTGAATAATGCCTTCAGTGAAAGGCCTAAAGAGACTATATCTGTCAAAGCCCTGAAGCATAACTAATGCAGCTCTACGCTGCTCTGGCACCCTGTCACAACAGATTTCCTCTGACGCATAGCTTCTAAATCCTCCCAGAATAACAAAAAATAACACCAGCACTTTTATGGGCTTCTAATATGAAGACGGATCACACAGCAAGATAAATGACTGGCAGGATTGAACAAAAGTAGGCGAGCGGGATAAGAATGTTTGTGGAATCACAATTTCCTGTTTGAATAAGCACAGGCATATACTGAAAAGCACACATCACCAAATGTGCTCGACAGAAACCTGGCTGCAGACATGCTTTCCGGGCAGAGGGTGGTGCTAGCTGTATTACCCATTTCCAATCAGCCTCAGCACCTGCTTAATATCCTGTGACACGACCTCTTCAGAAGATGTCAGCGTCGATGTTAAAATGATTTGAAACTGGACAAACAAACAGCAAAGCAACAGCATAGAGCAACAGACCCCTGCAGCCCAGTGCGACATTTTCATTAGAGCCTGTTGTTTTATGTCAAAGACTGTGGTGGCTTAGTGACAATGACAAGTTAAAGGAAAGACAGCAGCATGTCAGTGCCGAGGATATGTTCTACAGGAGACACACAGTTCCCATAGTGGACATTTTGACAACTAGATGCAAATGAGTGGCTTCCAGACACAATGCACCAAACCGCTGAGTGTCTTTTCAGAGATGTTGTGGCATCGCCGGTCTTATCTCCTGTTGAGAAAAACACTGCAACGCTGCCTCGTTTCTCAGCAAATGAGCCGTACTCTTCTGTCCTTGCTGGGCTACAATGCGCACACCCAAATATACAATGTTTTATAACCAGGCCGCTAATGTAATAATGAATCCCAACTGAGATAGGAATGTGATACGCATCATCACAGACTGCAATTTCCTGAATTATGTTTTTATTTGTTCATTTAGCTCTGAGCATAACCACCAGCAGCAGCAGCAGCAGGCCTCTTTGCATTACGGGGATGGAGGAGGATGGGGTGAGGTACCCTGTCGGCTGTACTTACTTGACCTTTGGTTTTTGATGAAGAAAAGCTTCAGCCTCTCCTTGAAGGTGTTTTCGTTCACGTAGAACTCCACCTGCACCCTGTGGGGAGCAGTGACATGATGTCAGTGTACATGTACACAGGTGAGCATGCACGCAGCACCTCCCCTCATATACACACACAGAAATGAGCAGAAAACATTTGATCAAACAGTGTAAATCTTTCCATTGTACTTTATAACTAGGTGTGAGACAAAGCAGTGGATTTCCATTGACATGAAATCAGTGCCAGATACTGTAAACGTAACACACATGACAGCTGTGGTCCAGACACATTCACACGTGTAATCATGTTTGCATACAGGCTACAGGTGCCAAGACAATACCTGAGTATCAGTGCGTAATAACATACTTGGTTTGAGGATAATAAACATGTTGTGTGACAAAAGCAAACAGTTTTTACATATAACAAAACATACCACGTTTGCAATTTTTTTATTGTTCTACTAACAGCTTTTTTGGGAAATCATTAAGTCCTTTTAACAATGAAAGTACTTATCTGTGAACTGCCGTAAACTTTTACAGCACGTCTTCAGAAGGAATGAATTGGCCTAGGACTAAGTGCAACAGAGAGGCTGTGGAAGTTGGTATGTGTCATCAGCCTTCCCCTTTAAAACAGCCCTATAAGAAATCTCCCTAAATCAAAGAGTCTAAAATTAGTAAGGTTATAAAAGAAAATATCTTATCAAAGACTAAAAAGCAAGACTTATAAACTGATCAAGCATTCAATAGGGCACCTCCCTGAAAGATGAAGATTTGTGGTACAGGCAGCAGAGGACCTAGACCCAGGATGAGTCTGAGTGAGATGGAGCAGCTGCCAGGAGGAAGAGAAGCTTTACCCAGTCAGGCTCCGACATAACGTCTTCTTCTGCCTTCTGCTTAGAGGTGGTGAACTAGCAGCTCACAGCAACTTAATACAATACACTCTCTGGCTTTTGTCTGAAATCTAGTGTCGGCAAAGCATCGCGTAGTTGCACGAATTAGCTCAGAGGGCTAATTTAGCTTGTTTACTATTTAACGTGACCGTTGTTGTCACCCTGAATGTCCTGCCAAACCCCATTCAAACCTATAAACAAAGGAAGGAATACTAATAATAAATAATAATAACTTAGACCTATATAGTGCCTTAAAAAGACCCAAGGACACTTTACAACAACAAAAATAACAATCTAGCAACCAAAAGCCAGGGTGAACAGGTGTCTTTTCAGTGTAGATTTAAAAATGTCCAGTGTTGGCGCGTGGCGAATCTCCATGGGGAGAGAGTTCCAGAGGGTTGGGGTTGCCACACTGAGGGCTCTATCCCCGAATGTTCGCCTGCTGGTGTGAGGGATGTTGAGGAGACCCAAGTCAGCGGACCGCAGGTTCCGTGAGGGGGTGTAATCAGTGAGGAGGTCCAATAGGTACCGTGGGGCAAGGTCATGGCGAGCTTTCTAGACGAGGAGGAGGAGTTTGTAGGTGATGCGTAACTTGACTGGAAGCCAGTGCAGGTGTCTGAGGGTGGGGGTGATGTGCTGGACCGGGTGAGAACCCTTGCAGCTGAGTTCTGCACATACTGCAGTCTGTCCAAGGCTTTGTTGGGGAGCCCCAACAGGACTCCATTAAGTCCAGGCGGGAGGTGATAAATGCATGCAACAAGTGTGAAGGCCAGAGTCTGGAGATGTTTTTGAGGTGGAAGAAGGCAAATTTGACAACAGATTTAATGTGGGATTCGTAGGAGAGGGTGGAGTCCAGGATGACACACATATTCATTTGAAACAGCCCAATCCAATTCCACTGACATAGTTCTAAGTCGGGTACAGCCCTAGCATTCAATGCCAACTTTCAAAACATGACTGTTCAATAACTCATGCAAAAGATATATTTCATACACAGAAAGTTCTGAGGGTTGATACCAAAAGTTTGCCTGCATCCTGCTATTATACATCTATTTCTTGCAATGGCACATCCTGGCAAATTCAATTTAAAATGGTACAGTAATTGTGCCATTTCCATAATTGTGCACGGTGAAGCTTTCCAACAGAAAAAGCATGTGCTTTTTGTAAATCTAGCGCTGGGAACAGCTGTGCAAGTCTCCCTTCTGACTAATTCCATTACCCTCCATTTACCATCAGCCATTACTCACACTCCACCCTAACACCGCAACAAAATCATCTACAAATGCATATGAGCTTGAATGTTAATGTGCAGTGTAGGTACTTGTTAAATAATGCAGATCATTATATAAATATATATAAATAAAAGGCCAATTTTTTCATCTCTTAATGGAGCATCGGCTGTGACTCACAGTGAAACACGATGTGCACAAGACACGACTCACAAGCTAAGGTAAGGGTTTATTTAATTGCTCTACAGGGACATTAATCCAAATTGATCAACTTGTGCGTGATCAGGCACCCAGGAGGGTTTAATCATTTGCTCATAATATTTTATATAGATATTTTAGTACTTTGCCACATGATCTGAAATGATTCACAGTTTGTGCGATAGTCCGTATCACTTGTGTTGAGACTATTTTCTGAACGTAACTAAGTGAAAACATGATCAGACAGCCTGGTTTATATTGAGCACCAATGTAAAAGCATCCATTAACAATTGACGATCACCTCCTATTTAAAACTACTGTACGTCAAATCAAACAGCTTGTCTTCTCACTCACGATGCACACAACGACAAATCCGAAGCTATTTAAGCTTTGTGCAGACATAATAATGGACTTTAATAGGCTTGAGAGCTTGACCGGACGGCCGCTTAAGCGCCAATGATGATATAGCTACTGTAGACAGGTCAGATAAATGCAGGTGGTGAGACAGGCCTTAAATGTTTCTGTAATGTAGAGCGCTTGTTGTCACTAATGAGCATGGAGGGGAAGTAATAATGGCCCCGTGGTTCCAGAAGGGACCCTTAAAGCCTTCTACCTTGTCTGACAAGATGAGTACAGGGTGCAGAAAGACAAAGAGCGAGAAAGAGCAGGAGGGCAATTACAGCAGCCAAGACCCAAGGGAGGTATGTATGTGTAGATAAAGAGTGTAGGTGGAAGAAAGAACATGAGATTTGCACCATCTTTCAGCTATTCTCCTCTCTCTCTCTCTCTCCCTCTTCTGGCTTTATCACCATGGAGACCGCTTCCGAGGCAGGAAATTGTCACTGTCATGTCTGTGTCCTATGTGTTTCCAGTACAAGGAATTACTCACACACAACACAATGACATTTTCCCTCCCACGTGACTCCACACAGTTACATGAACGCCTCGTAAACCATTAGTATCGTGTGCTCCATCACCAGAGGAGCAGTAAAAGACTGTCATAAAGGCTAATGGCTGCCAATCAGGCAGTCAATAAAGTGTGCTGTCTCCATTGACACAGCTGTCAGAACAGACATGTATCACACAGCTACACAGGGTTTATGTTTACCCAGCTTGCCTACAGAGAGCTGCAATTACACTTCATATAGGAAATGTGAACACGACACAACCTGAAATGTGACTCAGAATAAACTCAGTGACACAATGCTTATTGTGCCATGTGACATGAGAACTGCATTAGCAATAGCTTGCCAACGCTGTTAAAAAAAGCAGACTGAGCCGAGTGTACATTTGAATAGGAGTGACAACCATGCAGTAGCACATCCCCTCTTTTCAGTATATCTTAAAGTGAGGGTTCCCCTGCTTATCTGAATGTAAGGCGAGGGATCTGGAGTACAGTCGGTAAGCGTTTTGACAGAGGAACATTTTCTGTAATGTTGGCTCTGTACTCCATCACATTTTATTTAAAACAAACAAACAAAAAAAGGATTATGCTGTTCAAGGGACAGTTTGGCTATCTTTGTTGTGGTTGTATGAGGTATTCAGTGTTTTATATACAGTAGCTGTTGATCCACACGCCCCCAGTTTGTAGAAGCAGACAGGACATAGAAGCTAAGAAATGTGCTGCTGTGCAGGAGCATCAACAATGTATTTTAGCCACCTAAGAAAAGTCCCATGTAAAAAACAAAAAAACACTAACAGTTTAAGTGTACGCTATATGTTACTATCTTATCTTACTATATAATGACGGAAACTCTCTGTGGGTGTGTCTGTGTGTGGCTGTTCCACGTTTTTCTCCTCACTGACTTAGTCAATCAATGTGAAATTTGGCACAGTGGTAGAGGGTCATGGGAGGATGCGAATGAAGCAATATTACATCAATTGGCCAAAGGGGGGCGCTATAGCAACCGATTGAAATTGCAAACTTTGAATGGGCATATCTCATGCCCCGTATGTCATAGAGACATGAAACTTTGCACAGAGATGCCTCTCCTCATGAGGAACAAATTTGCCTCAAGAACCTATAACTTCCAGTTATACAGATTTTCTGCCATTTTGATTTTTTTGAAAAACACTTAAAATCAATCTCTTCCTAGGAAGTTTGACCGATCTGCATGAAACTCGGTGAACATAATCTAGGGACCAATATCTAAAGTTCCCTCTTGGCAAAAGTTGGAAAACTTACTAAAACTGAGCTTCTATAAGGCAATGAATATTGTGGAGGGCGTGGCTCATCACATAAAGGTGTATAACATCTTGAGAGTATTTCAACAGCTTTACTTCGAGGCAGGCAGCTCGTTCTGACAGGAAAACCATTGACGGCTTCAGTTTCTATCTATGCTCTCGTCAAAGCCAAAAACAGTACTTTAAGCTCACTGAACACTGCTGCTGATCTATCACTGCCTCACTCAGTGTGTTTGTTTCTATTATTGTGTTTCATTTTACTGAATCCTGAGTAACCCTTTTAAACGCCAAAGTCACACAATAACACAAACTAACTTACTGACTGAGGCAGCAGTCGACCAGCAGCTCCTGTGTACAGCAATTTTAAATTACTGCTTTTCTCAATGGGGTCTGGCTTTGAAGAGATCGATATTACAGTCTAGTTTCCCCTCAGAAATCGCTGCCTGACAGCAAGGTAATGTGGTAAAACAAAATTTAAAAATAGTGTACATCTGAAGTGATATTGATTTTTTTGTTTTTAAGGTAGAACTTTTTTGAGGTGACTAAAATACATTTG